TTATTAAATATATATATTTTTTAGTAAAATTACAGTACTATAATGTGTGTTTTAGCACATATGTTACTTGCAATTTCATACTACTGTGATAGATATTCTGTTTTTATTCTTAAAAAATTTATTAATTTTAAATGTATTTAATAAATTAAAATTAATTAAATTAAATTTCAAACCGTAAAGATTTGCTCAATCATTTTTTATTTCTATTGTTCTTTTCAATAAATAAACTTTTTTTTTCTAATTTATATTAAAGATTTTCTGTTTTAAAATTAATTTATGTTGATTTTCTAAAGACTCGTTCAATCATCTTTTATTTATATCATTCTTTTCAATAAACAAACTTTTTCTTTATCTATATTTAAGATTTTTTTATTTATTTGTATTAATTTTAATATTCGTATTATATATGTTTTATTGACACATAATAGTAAAAAAAATTAAATATATATATTCTATTTTTAATCATATGTATTCATTCATATTTTTAAAATATCAACAACATTACTAATATAAAAAATAATAAACTAATATCATAATTTATTAATTTACATTACCTAAATAACTTACCGAACAAATGGATCATCTATTATGGTCTATGGACAAAGAAAGTGGTATTTTACTATTTATTTTTTAAAGACTAATTTTTCATGGAGAACCTAAGACTTTGTTTTTTCTATTTTTTCTTCGTGTACTATTTTTTTTTAAAAAAAATAATATACTATTCACATTCATTATTTTTATATTCTTTACACAATTTTTTATATCTCATGTCAATTTTTTTTTTTCTTTTGAACAATTTTACAAAATAAATACACTCCTCACATTTATTAGACATTTCATCCAATATATTCATTTTATTTCACTCTAAAGTTTATCTTTATAATTTTAAGAGATTAACAAATAATAAGTATTTTAATACCGATTGAAAGTAGATAAGAAAGTTTCTAGAGTTTGTTTGGTTTCAATTTAAAATTGAAATCAATATTATTTATTTTGCACGATTTTTAGTTAATATAACTAAATTATTTAATTTAATTAAATATCACATTAAAATATTATTTAAAAAAAATATTCGAATCAAAATGTGATTTTAGTATTAATAACTGTGGAATCGAAAACAAACCGACCCATTTTCAGACAAAGTGAAGTGATGTATATTGTTACAGGTCAATTTCATCTATCCAATTTTAGTTCCCCTAAAACAAAGACACATTTGCTCTGATTATTTTGGACCTTTTTTTTTTTTTTTTACTTAATGTTTGTTCTAAAATATATGTATTTAACCCAAAATATTTTTTGTTACGTAATTTTCAATTAATATTACTTTTTTTTTGTCCCGACTCACAATATTTATCTTTTTAGTAAATTTAAAATAATAATATTTTATTAGTTAGTAAAAATATATAAAATAATTTGATATTTTTGCAAGTATATGTAAAAAATAAATACTTTTGTAAAAATCGAAGATATTTTGACATTTATTCAAAATTATTTTTATTATAATAAAAAAATAAATACTTCAGAGTGAACCCAACATAAATAAAAAAATAGTACATAAATATATATATATACACACACTAATATAATACTATATTACATCACTTACAAGAGATAGTAATGTAATGCAAAATATTACTCCCTCTGTCCCACATATCGTGTCTGCTACACTGTAGACACCGTATTTTAGGAGGGATGTAATTAGTAGTTAATTAAGAATATATTAGTGAAAATAATTATCCTATAATATAAATAATTATAAATTAAGATTTAGATAACTAATTAGTTTAATTAAACTTTAAAAAAAAATTAAAAAGTTTAAAATGACATTAAAGTGTATAATTATTTTCCAAAAAAGGAAAGTGACATGGTACGTGGGACGAATAGAAACGGCAACGTAGACATGGTATGTGGGACGGAGGGAGTATTTCTTTTATTATTTATACGATTTTATACCTAAACTGAAAAATACATTAAAAAAACAAAAGTTACACACCTTTTAACAATGCTCTCTTCTTTCTATTTTGTTGGATTAGTTTTTAATAATATAAAATTTCTGGATAATTGCATAAGTGTGTGTAATGGGATTTTGTAATTTGATCTACACTATTGAATAATATGAGGTTATTTTGGAAATAATTAAATTAAAGTCACGAATGTAATAACTAAATATGCTAAAAAAAAGTGTATTAAACTTTTACTATTTAACTATCATTTAAAAATAAATAAATAACAGTTGAAACAATAAGTTTCATTTAAACATATATTTTTGAAATTTTAGGATGTAGTATTTTTTTTAAGTTTGAATTAGGAATATTTAATTTGAGAGTTACATTTCAATAATATTGATATGATATTTTATGAAAAATAACATGTATATATATATTTCAATTTTCATAAAATATACATTCAAATAATAACAAATGATAAACTCTTAGTAAAATAAACACACCTTTAGAATTTTTTATAATTTTAAATTAAAATTGTGTGTATTTAATTTAATATTTTGTGAAATAAAGTACTGTTCCGGTGTGATATTGTTTGAAAAAATGACTATTAATAAATAATATAAAAATTTCAAAAAATATTTATATGTAAATGAAGCTGTGCTTTTTATATAATATTTATTTTGTATTTTGGCTTGAATTTTTTTTTTTATTATTTTATTCTTATGGATCTAATGTATAAAGAATTGTATAGATAATGTAAAAATAAAAAATTTATAGTATATCATTTTTCTGAAAATTTTAATGGAAATATAACAAATATTCGAAAACAAAACTAACCAACTGTGAAATTACTTCAATAGGAATAGGATACTAATAAAACTATATATTTCCAATGTCTTAATCAATTACAATTATAAGAAGTTGAGGGATTGATGTTGAAATAGTGATAACAATGGCAGACTTGAATTTCGGGCCTATACTAAATATGTGACCATTGCGAGGACCATTTTGTGGTCATGGCGATGAGACCTGATCCAAAAATTCAATAATCAATTTTATCTTAGCATAAGCATTTCGTAAATGGTGGAGGACAATTTTGAAATAATCAAATTACATTCTAACAAATATATGATGTGAAAGTTAAGTTTAAATTTTTATAATTACCATATATATATATATTTATCATTTGCATATAATTAAAAACATGATATTAAAATAAGATATGAATCATACGAACATGTAATTCATGTCTCCGGAGTCATGTTACTATATCCCTACTCTGTAAATAAACACAATTTGTATGTCAATTTTGATCTGACTTTTATTTTTTTATTTTTTATTTTTTTATTTTTTTATTTTTATGACATGAAAAAATCCGTATCCGCTACCCGAAAATGCGCACTGGGTAAACCTCGACAGAAACTAATAAATTGCAAACTTTCAAGATACATATATTGTTAATATATGTATTGTATAGCATATGATTTATGTTTTCATTACCATTGCCGTAATCAAATTCTTTTTTTACCATTGATTGATACTTTTTTTTTTCTAGTAGAAATTATACATTTATTTTTTTAATGGATTAAAAAATAATGACATTTTTATTAGTCAATGTAAGTGTAAGATGATTTTGATATTTTTGTTATTTAAAATACACAAAAATAAATATATTTTAAAAATTAAAAATATTTTGGTATTTATATATGATTATTTTTACTATAATTAAAAATTCATTTTTTTTAATAAAATGGACAAAAATGATAAAAAAAAAAATCGAATTAGAACAAGTAATATTTGCTGTATTCAATAAAAAACTTGTGTAAAGCACATCACTTAATTCAGACATGGTGGTGTGAGAGTGGGATCAAGGTCATGAATTTATACTCTGAATAATATAAAATATAATAAGGGAGTCTTCTTTTAGAAAAAGAAAAATATATCTACATATCTACATTTTTTTTAGAAAAAATAAATATTCTATCCATCCCATAAGTAAGTATCCATTTGTTTTTTCACGTAGTTTTAGAAATATTAGTATTATATTGGGATATAATATAAATACAGTAGAAATTACTAAAATAACCTTATCAGTAAGTATGATATAAAGATAATGACATTTGTGTAATATATTGTAAGTTGTAAGAGTATTTGTAATGTTAGGTAGATAGTACAATTACTTAAAAAAAGAAAATGAAAATGAATACTTTGTTACGAGAGCGGACTAAAATGGAAAAATAGATACTTTGTTACGAGAAGGAGGAGTATTAATATATCTTATATTTATTACACAATTTTTTATACATTATATTAAAAAATATCCATTTAAATAATCTTACAAAACAAACATACCTTTAAAAATGTATAATATATTAATTTCTTTTTTGAAAAAAAAATTATATATTTGTTTTTGACAAAACAAACAAACTCCATATTTTTAAAAAATTGAATTATAGCACGGTGAGATTCATATACATATATATTTTTTTATCTAAAACTTTCACTTATATTAAAAAAAGTTAGATGTTGGTTTATACCATTTTTAATATATATAGAATCCTTTTATTTTGTTTTGTTGAATGAATATATTTTATATTAAATTGTTAATTTTTTTTAAAAGTAAACTTTAGGGTGTGTTTGTTTGGGAGATTGGATTGAATTTACACTATTCATTCGATTTTTTCTTTCCAAAATTATCAAATCAAAAATTTATTTTTTATTTTTTATATTATACTAAAAATTAATTTTACATTCAAAACATCACGTCAATACCTATTTATATCACATCATACAACTATTTAAATTCAAAATATTTACTATTCAAATCCGAACTCAAAATCCAAATCCTCAAAAAAACACATATATTTTAAATACTTAAAGGAAATAGTATCATTCAAATATAGATGGACTAAAGTCACTAAACAAACAGATAATATATATTTTATTTGTTTATTATTATTATTTTTAAATATCAATATTGAGATGAGAATATTATGGTTTATATTAAAAAATTCGTATATAAAATATTCTATAGATGTGCAAATAGCGATTACAACTATTTATGTATTATGTACGGAACGTCGTTCGAGCGTATGTTTCCTCTCTCTACTGAAATTTGTTTCTCGAATCCCTCTCTCTCACACACACGCACTGAAATTGAAGGATGGAGGAAGGATCGTCGCGCGGCAGCCTGAAGCGTTCCTTCGTCGAGGACGACGAGTCAAGCAAAGCCCCTCCGTAAACCCTCTTCCATCTATTTTATTCGCCAAGTATCATGTTCTATGCTATTTGATTCGAGAGAGTGCGTGTCGAGTAATTGTTTGTAATTTTAGACCTAATTTGTTATAGGATTGATATGGATGTTGTTAGGTTTTATTCTATTGTAGCATCTGCGTACGATTCGTAACTGTACTTGTTTTGGGCGTTGTGATAGAATTTCAGTTGTATTTTAACACTGCTTATTGAAGCAAAATTCGTGGATTTTAATTACTTGCTAGCGGTTTGTTATGGAGCTTGTAATTGAATAGGTTTTTGCTCTATCTATCTTATTAAATTAACTGAAGAGAAGTTTGACGGTAATTGGATATATTTCTTCTATCATTTTGTTTTCAACCTGTGCATCACTATTTTGATTGATTTTTGGGGCTGTATGCACTTGTATCAGGGAGAAAAGAGTGAGATTCCCCAAAGGTAAGAAGCTGAAACAGGGAGATTATGTCACAGAGTCAGCTGCTGAAGTTATTCCTGGTTACAAGGATCCTCGTCTTGCTGCAAAGGATAGAGCTACTCGGCGAAATAAGATTACAGAAGAATTGCTGAACGACGAGCACAGTGACTATACAAACAACATACGGAAAGCTGAAGTTCACTACAAGGTAAAGTAGTAAAATGATGTTGCTAGCTATTGTTTTTCAACACTTGTAATTGAAGGGAAGTTCATTTATTTTCATGACTGTTTAATATGTTTGTTCATTTTTCTGGTTGATTTTGTTTCAATTGTTTTCTATATCCAATATTCCAATCTCAATGTACCTATGCGAGTGCTTTACTATATGGTAAAAAATACTTTCCAGTGACACCTCGTTGCTTAAAGAACACAAGTTTTTTGGGTTGTCTATTGTCTGTTGGAAGTTCGATCAGAACATGACAGGATGCAAACTTTGGCAGGACAATGAGACTTTTGTTGAAGAAGGTGTTCCAATAGAACCTTTTAACCTGGACAAAGAGAGAGAAGAAGGATACTTCGACGAAAATGGAAATTATGTTGAATATGTGAATCAGAATGAGATCAAGGTAGTGAATTAGCTCTGATATGTTTATTGGGCATTTGGCAATTGCAGTGTTCTTATACAGAATCTTGCAGGATGCATGGCTTGATAGCGTGGATACTTATAAAAAGTATGATGGAAAGAACACCATTTCCACATCCAATGATGATAAACCTCATGATCTCGCAACAGAAGAGCTTGCACAAATCAATAGGCGGATTGCTGATATTCTTGAACCTGGAGAAACGGTTTGTAGTAAATTAGTAGTAGCATAAATTTTATTATGTTTTCTTATGCTGATTTCAGATATTAAGCCTTCGACTGATAGGGTACTCCTTTGGTTTCCCATGTGACATTTGCCTTTATGGACCCCGTCCTATGCTGGGAATTAGATCTGCTGATATATGTTTTCTTTTGATTCTCTGTTAACTTATTAATAGCGTGTGTGATGCTGCCCTTGATTCACCCCATCCATATTTGGAGTTACTGATGCCAATTGCATGCATACTTTGGCTTGATCCCCCTATTATGATATTTTGATTTTTGAATAGACCCTGAGGAATTTTAACTTTGTGGACCAAGCTTCATGATTAAAGATAGCACATCAAGGGTGTGTTTTTTGTTTTTTGCAATATTTTGAAGGATTATTTTTTATGTGAGTTATAGGGAATTGTGTAGATAATATTAAATAATAATTGTGTGTAATATATTAATTTTTTTAGGAAAATGTGTTGGTTTGTTTTGATAGAAAGAACACACCCAAGTGTAGCAAGATTTGATGCTAATCTCTCTCTCCCTCTCTCTCTCTCTCTATATATATATATATATATGTATAGACATATATGATTCTCATAAATCCCTAGATATGCATGTGTCTCTCCATGATGATGATGATTATTATTATTACTATAATTATTTTGTATTATATTCGTTTTCTTTTTTCGTTTTTTAAAAAATTGTTATTGCTTTTCCTCAATGTGGTGTTGTTATCTCATCTAGAGTAGTATTAAGTATTCTTAGAGATAATGGTGTACTTTCTACAGGTTTTGCAAGCTCTCAGGAGATTGAAGGGTTCAAGTGATAAGAAGCAGAAGATGTCTGCAGAAACCAAACAACTGTTTGACCAACTAACTGAAGATGCCATGAAATTGATGGAGAATGGAGATTACAGTTCAGTTATCTCATTACCTTTTTTACATAAGTTCTTGCAACTATCATATACATTATCTGCGCACATGTATAGATACATCATACTTGAACTGCTCTTTTATTTGGCAGATGTATATGATGAAAAGCAGGAACATTTTGACCGTGAAGCAGGTATAATCTCTAACTATGCTTCTTTGTTAGAATTTTCTGCATTTTACTTGTCCCATATTGGCCATTCATTTTATATGCGTCTATGGCTCTTATTTTAGTCTGTTGGTCTAGACACTAGAGGCAGTCGTTTTCTTTGTTTGATGTTTGTGGGTTTCACTAAAGGGTTTCTCTTTTAAGTGAAATTCAAACTTGTGTCAGCTCTACATCTAGCAGGATATGTTCCATTCATTATTTATAGCTTATAGTTTCTTTGTATTTTCTGTTACTCCCCCCTCCCATATATGTCAGTTGAATGACAGTGGAAGCAAACTGGAGATGGTATATGATCGTTATATGTTGAGAAACAAATAGAGTGGGTGATAATGGAGCTTCTCATATGTACTTTACTTGCATAGTAATATCAAATGAATAGTTTGGAGACTTAATTTACCTTTCCGAGAGTGCACATCGAGTTTCCATGAGTTAACTATGCTGTTACTTTTCTTTTGATGTTCAGAGGGATATGAAAAGTTAGTGAAGGCAAGGAAGCAGGGGATCACAGAAAGTGGGGATAATATGGAGACGTCTGACATTTTTGATATGTTTGGAGAAGATGATGGAAATGCCAATCCTGCCTCCAATGGGAGTGAAACAGTTTCTGTTCAGCCCTCCGAGAGTATGCTTAAATGAGTATATTGAAGTGCTTGGTAGAGAAATTAAGCTGTATTTTGTAACTTGTCACATGCATGGGATTGCAGGTGAAGGCCTGCAGAATGACTTTGTATATGACGACACATCGGGGTATGCTTTTCTCCTTAAAAACTATTTTTAATCTTACATTTTTATGATTTTGAAGTACTCACTTGTCATATTCACAAAAAAACCTCTTCAAAATGCTTAGTTGGATGCCAGTCCAAATTAGCCTGTTGCTATTTGTGTTCTATGTTCTCGACCTAATCTTACTATTCCTGACTGGTGGAGTGAATGGTTAGTGCAAACTTGTTCGTCTACACTGTGTTCTAACATCTAACGTGTGTTGTTGATTCAGATATTACTACAGCACGAGTTCGGGTTATTACTACGATCCCTCTACGGGACTTTATTGCTGTGCTGCTTCAGGCAAATGGTAACTTGTCCATGGCTCATTTTTTGTTTGCATTGGATGTCCTGTAAAATCAAGTTGCTTCTTGTTTAAGTTATATCCTCGTTCGTTAAAGTAGAAATGAAGCTATTTTTATGTGCATCTCTTGGTCGTACTTGGAGTTGCAGCCAAGCCTGAACAAGGCATTCGTTCTAATTTTATTTTGATTATGGTCCAAAATACCACTGCCTGTAACTCTGCTAATGTGGACTGCTGGTTGTATGTTGTCTTTCACTTATTTTTTTTTTCATGTGATCAGAACTGCCTATGCCTTTACGCGTGATTTAGGGCTACTGTAGTCTCTGTTTAGATAAATATTTTTTGAGTTTTGGACAATTATGAGAATAGTAAAAAAAATATTCAATGTCAAAACTTTCATAACTATGTATGCAAATATGAAATGTGATTGTATATGGCTTGTAGCTTATTTGATGTTTCTTCTTCTTCTGTTCAAACACAGGTACTCTTATAATGAGGCCTCAGGAGGATACGACGAGATCCAACAAGATGCTGCTGCTGCTTCCGATGCTACTGTAAGTTGAAGTGCGAATGACATTGAGTTATACAAGTTAGTCTCAAACTTATAGGGCAATGTACGAAACCGGTGTTCCGATTTGAGTAGCTAGCAGTGTACAAACTTTAAGAATTTCCTTTCGTCTGAAATACTTGTTATTTCATGACATCTTCGGGTGTAAGATATATTTTCTGGAAGTGTCTTGATGTTCAGCTCCTCTACTTTCCATTCTTTTTTGTTTTGATTTCCATTTCTTGTTTGCAAATAGTGGATGGTAAGTGTTAAATGCATAACAAGTTAGAGATTCACCAATTTGGTAAGGAATCATCCGGTTGCGCTTATATTTTCTTTGACATGAAAACTGCTCAGTACCTGGGCTGAATGCTGTCAGCCAGATAATTTAACCCAAAAGAAAGCTCAATCAAACAAGGTTGTTAGCGATTCATAAGGGATGGGATGGGATGGCCTGGCGATGGCGGTGTGGGGGTTGGACGTGTGACCGTGAATTCATGGATACCAAAAAAAATCCCCTTGAAGATTAGCAAGAGTGAAGAGAGAATCAGGATCACATAAGGATGTATTCAAAACAGTTGTCTAATGTATTTCTCTTTCATTAGGGAGAAATTTTACCAAAACTAAAGATCAGTACAAGACATCTCAACACCCTTGCATCAATTCGCCGATTACGATTACGCATCAACATCTCTCCAACCAAACATGTCATTTCTTTCTTGATCAGTGCTACAAAATCAACTACAGGTTTTCTTCCAAGACTGGCGGCGATGCAGATAAATGGATAATGAGTAGCTCCTAGGAAAACATAAGATAACAGATTAAAACAACAGGGGAAGGGTGGATATCAGGCCAAGCTGAAGAAGGATCCTAGAACTAAAATTAAATGGCACCAGATCCTTAGATTAATTAAAGGTGCCCCAAGGGCAATCACATGCAGAGCTGGCAAAAACTGATTCGATACGACACTAAATAATTGAATTTGGATCAAGAATTTTGACCCGATTATGTATATTGATTGACATGAACCCGGGTTGAATTAGAGTTGAGGGTTTCAACTCGAACCCGACACAACAACCCGATTATAATATATTAATATTGATTGATATATTTATAATATTATGTAAAATAATTATAATTTAATAATTTGTTCATAAATTAATTTAAATTCAATTCAATTTTAAATAATTTAACCTAATTCATTGTATTACATTCAAACTAATTTAACCTAATTCATTGTATTACATTCAACCTGAACCCAATACTACAATAAACAGGTCGGATTAGGGTTGAATAATTTAACCCGTTTAAAGTATTCAATCCGACACGAATCGCCCCATTGCCAGCTCTAATCACATGTTGACGAATTTGCATTCATAACGTTTAACACGGATTTCTTACAAGAATCAAAACCATACCTAGTTCACTAGTGCTCACTATAGAACATGCATCAGTCCGATGCTCAGCAAATCAACTGGAGTCGAAAATAGTCCCTCCACAGGCAGTTCACAAGCATTGCATGTAAAATTCCCTGCCAAGAGAGAGAGTGAGAGAATAGTAAAACCGAACATTTCGGCAATTTCAAATGCAATTAAAAAAAAAAATAAAAACATTAGCAATAAAACAAAAGGCCCCTTCGTAGCAAAGTGATATGTATACAAAAGATTGTTTCATTAGGTGGGATCAAGCTTACAAGAATTACTGAGAACCAAAGCCACGTCTCATAGGATGTCCGTTTCTAGGTGATCGCGTCCCTCTTGGAGACAAACTCCTACAAGTAAAGGTACTGCATTTTTCAAAAAGAATTTGTGTTGATTGTAATGACAAAGAAGTTCTTATGACCGGCAGACCTTTCATATGATCTGAGCCGGCTTTGTTGTCCATCATCATATCGACTTCTCTTACGGGCAGACCTTTCATATGATCTGAGCCAACTTTGTTGTCCATCATCATATCGACTTCTCTCACGGGCAGACCTTTCATATGATCTGAGCCAGCTTTGTTGTCCATCATCGTATCGACTTCTCTCACGGGCAGACCTTTCATATGATCTGAGCCGGCTTTGTTGTCCATCGTCATATCGACTTCTCTCACGACCTCTATCATAATCTGGACTATAACTTCTGCTTCTATACCAATAGCGTGGGTCCCTTTCTTCATACCTATCTTGTTCGTATCCTCGGAAACTTCTGCTCTGGTTTCCCCTCCTATAATCTCTGTCTCCATGGTAATCATCTTCATACCTTGGAATAAGTATACATCAACAGATCACAACTTCTAGCTAAAAGAGAAAAGACACGGTAAAAACAATTTGGTCAATTAGCATAAAGAACAAGATTCTCTGCAAACAAGCACCCCACAAAAACATGAAATCTCCGATTCCTTGCTTAATTATAATACATTAAGCTCTCATAACGTACTATTAAATCACTTTCAAGGAAACTAAACTATTGAACTTTCAAGTTTCCAAAAGACAGGCGAGCTCCACTGCTCTCTCAACAACATGCATCAAAAGAGATTCGGATTTTACCTTCTCCTAGGACTCCTACTTCTTGATCTACGTTGGCCTCGTGAAACAGCCACAATCCTTCCTTCGTGGCTGCAATAAGAGAAAAGGAGTAAAGGGGCAAGATGGAGCAATAAAAGCATCAAGAATTTTCTCGGACATGTAAATAAAGAAACGTAGTAACTGCCAAAGTCTACATGAATTTAACAGTATAAGGTATTCAGTGCACAATAATTAATCAATACAATGTAAAGGAGAATAGGCAACAAAATGTGAAACCTACAAACAGCCAACTCACATTGGTTCTGCACGTGGGCCATAGTTTGCAAATTGGACAGCAATTTCTCTCCCATCAACAACTCTCCCTACAAGGAAATACATTGCTGATGATACTTTATATATGGAAAAATGAATGAGCATTCATAAATTTTGGCTAAATCTAAATAGGAGTTGACTCTAAAACAACGATTTCCTTCAACAACTCTACATAATGATGTTTTGATTTCTGACACTCCAGAAGATTGCAATGAACTTATTTGTTTCCACAACTAGAGAGCAAGTTTCAAGGAGTATACACAAAATATTTACAACATCAATTACTAGATGAAAAGGAAAAATGATAATGTTGACAGGGTAATAATCCAATGAGACTCTTGTTGTTAGGAGTTTGCACGGACCGGAAACATTGAGGCCATCAATTACAGGTCAATAATTCAGCGATCGTGTTACTGCTAAAGGGTAACGAAGAAGTTCGCAGTCTGCGCCTGATCATCATATCTTCCATCCACTCGTTAGTGGAGATGAAAAATTCAGATTATGGGCTGGTTAAAAGATATAGATCACAGGAGTTCAATATGGAAGTTGGAGTAACAATAAGAAAAAATATAATATATGTGAACTTCAAGTGAGTATATGGGAGTATGAAACCCTGCATGATATCAATTAAAAATTATAATGTGCTAAAAGAGATCAGATATGACCCCTTTCACAGAGATCCATTGAACAGTTTTTAATCTCACAATTCTTTCATTACATGCACTATGCTAGTTGATTTAAATTGAAAATGTGCTCGTTCCACAACTATAAATGCATAGAATAATTTTTCCTTTATAAGTATAAGCTTACCATCTAGCTTATCCATGGCCTTCTGTGCCTCATCTTTGTGCATATTGCGAACAAATGCAAAACCACGCGATTCACCAGTCCTACTCCACAAGAAATAAATGTCAATAATCAGATAGCACAAGAAGGATTTACTTTTGCAAGACCACTAAATGGAAGAAACTATGTTACAATTCTAGTCAACACACACATTAAAGAGCACACTGCATTCACTTTTTAGAAAATAAATTTTAATACATAGCGGCAAGCAGTAAGTAAAAACGAGGGATACAAGGCTGATTTTTGGAGAAAGGCAAGAATTCACATCCAAAAAAAGAGTTCTGAAAGTCCCTGCACACCATGCTTTTCAAATAAAACAGCCATTTCATTTGCGCCCGAGATGTTTTCAAAGGAGATGGATGGGGCATCTAGACAAAAGATGACGTAGCTTATCGATCTCATAAATAAGTTTCAATTGGACCCGACCCAAGAAACCAGCTTAAACTTTAGAATTGCTTGCAATGCAGATACGAGGGAGTTTAGAATCTGACTTTAAAAGAGCACACTAAATTCATGTCAAACCCTTCTAGAATACATAAAAATTGACTTTATTAGGAATTAGTCGAATTACCATATCTCATTGTCATACATTACTATATACTTGATCATTCCCCTTGCATTATATTCTGATCTTTGGTTTCCATTTCTTTTCTTTACTGCTTTTGCTATCACTTCTATTTCTTTATAACACACTTCTTGCATTTTCAATCACACAATTTATATCATTATATAGCACTTCACAGTATACTATAATTAACTATATATATATAAATATAAGAATATAGCATGCAACTACGTGTGCCATGGCTGCGAGTAGATTAAAGAGGGCAAACCCCAAGGTCCATATCTTCGTCATAAAAAGTTTACCAACAGGGAATTTAACGCAGGCAGCAAGATAAATAGCCCTCATCGAACCCTCGAATTACTAATGTGAGGGTCCATAGCTCTTCACTATAAAGAATTACAATAAACGCCAAAGAAATTTCACCTCCGATCTCTCGGGATATATACTTCCATGACCTTTCCATACTTACTGAAAAGAGGAAACAGATCATCCGAAGTTGTTCCTGCGAAACTCAAACCCAATAAACAACAAAATAGGAACAAAATCATCCAAGAAAAAAAAAAAGAAAAGAAAAGAAAAGAAAAGAAAGAACACAGAGTGACGCTTCAAAATCCAATCCAAAGGCCTCGAGAATTACGGAAATTAACGTTGAGAACCAGCAGAGAGTAGCTCTCGGCAACTGCCCTAGCGTCCGCCATCTTCTCCTCCGGAAAATACTGACACTATTTCTGTGCGTCGCTCTTCAGTCTAAGAAGCTTCCATGACCGTCCGTACGATTTGATGGGACAGCACAGCATAATAACCTTTGGGCTTATTAACGGGCCATGTAACTTAATTTATATAATGGGCTTCTTATTGGGCCTGCGAAATAAATTCCGGTAATAATATATGGGCTTACAAAATAAGTTCCAGTAATAATATATGGGCTTCTAATGGGCCTATTGGGCTGGAACACGTCACTTACAGCGCACGTTAGAGTTTCGACATACTTCCCTCGAGCCGTGCGCCGGGCTCTTGATCAAAGCGACAAAAAATTCGCAGAGTTCATTTATTTTTATACACTTTTTCAGAGTGAGTGCAAAATATTAATAAGAAATACAGTAATTATAAATAAAGAAAAATCTATGTGGGACGATGGAGTGCTAAATCCATGGAAGCACACATCTAGGAAGTAACGTGAGTAGGGCGGAGGGATGACGGAGGAGGGATCGGAGAGGGAGAACGGAGGTTTAGCGTCGATGGATTCGACGGAGTCGCGCTGGGTTTACCAGGACGAGGAAGGCTCGGAAATCGATAACGATGTCGGCGATGGCGCCGAGGAGTTGCTGCATAGGGATTCGGACGACGAGGATAATGCGGAGCAGAGGTTGATTCGCACGGGTCCTCGCCTTGATTCCTTTGATGTTGAAGCTCTAGAAGTTCCTGGTGCTCAGAGATACGAATTTGAGGTGCTTTTATTATTTATTTAGTTTCAAAATTAAATTTATTGAGGTGATCCAGTAGCGAGTTCTCAATTGAAATGAATTCCTTGAGCTCTAATTGCAGAAAGCAGAGAAGATTTGGTGTTGGTGGAAGTGAAAATAATCCATAGATGCAATAAGGTTTATTCTAGGATATCATTATCTGATTATCTCAAGCAATCAAGTTAAATAATACACGTTTTTGTTGTGCTCTGTGTGAGCCACCAGAAGTTAAAATGCAACCAAAGAGATTACTAAATGAAAAGTGGAGTTATAGGTTTATGTTGGTGCATGTGAACTATGAATGAAGCTTGTTGCTGTTGTTCCATAGGAGGAGGATAAACTAAACTGTGGGGAACTTAATTTTGTTTAATGGATGAGGAAATCTTATCTTCAAATGAGAATTATAGGGATCGAGCTGTGATAAAATTGCATGATAATGATTAGCAAAATCTAGCTGTTTATATAGTTTGGAAAATAAATATGCAGGATGTCACTCTGGGCAGGGGAATCATTCTGACCTTTCAGACACTTGGAGTTGTTTTTGGTGATGTGGGAATTAGTCCAATATATACCTTCAGTGTAATGTTCAGCAAGGCACCAGCAAGCAGGGATGAAGATGTTATTGGTGCATTGTCTCTAGTTTTGTACACTTTGATACTGATTTCATTGATCAAGTATGTCTTTATTGTTCTCTGGGCAAACGATGATGGTGAAGGTATAGATTCCATCTGCAGTATTTATATATGTATCATGATAGTAGTCTGCAGTATGCAGACAAGTTGACTTGTTATTCTTCAATTCAGGTGGGACATTTGCTCTGTACTCTTTGATTTGTAGGCATGCTAAAGTGAGTCTTCTGCCCAACCAGCTGCCTTCAGATGCTCGCATATCAAGCTTTAGACTGAAGGTGCCGTCTGCTGAACTAGAGAGGTCCTTGAAAATAAAGGAAAGACTTGAAGGTTCTGCGACGCTAAAGAAGCTACTTTTGATGTTGGTTCTTGCTGGCACATCCATGGTGATTGCTGATGGTGTTGTTACACCTGCTATGTCAGGTGCTTTTAAAATTGTTCACATTATGAGTGTTTTTTTTCCCTGGAGTACATGTTTGTTTGATACTTGATAGTCTTGACGAAGAGAGAAATTAAAGTGCTGTGCGTTTATTTTCAAATATTGTTTTATTTACTTAAGCTGATTATAATTTTGTTTTAAATTTGTGCAGTTATATCTGCTGTTGATGGCTTAAAAGTTGGAGTTTCTTGGATTGAGCAAGGTGATTTATCCTTTCTGCTAAGTTAAAAATCAACAACAACCAGTTTTCTTTTTCCCTTTTGCTTGACTGTGGTTGCATTGCTAGTAGTCTGTGGAGAATGTGATGACTGCTCCATGACTTAAATGTATGAGTTACATGCAATAATTGAGATTGGGGTGGGTATTAGTACTAGTAACGAACACCACATGAAGATTGTCAGCCCTTTAAGTCAGAAACCGATCCCGATAACAAATTCCAAGAAAACCATTTAGGTCATTGTGGTTGGATTCAGAAGCCTTTTACAAAGGCGATTCTCAAATACTGATCTGCTATGACTTTGTTGATTTGAACGACCAAGGTGTCAAGTTTGATAATTAAATGGCACAAAATGAACCTTTCAATGGTATAGGTGCGTAATACCTTCAGTCCATTGGTTGTTAAATAGTTCTGGATACATAATATTCATAGCTGACCGATCAATTTCTGATTGGGTTTCTTATCACTTTATGTCTTAGATTTTCAGTATTAATATGTTGAGAAATGCTCTGGATGCTATTGCATGTGAGTATGGCTTATCAGGAATTTTCAGTTTTAGTTGTTTAAATTCATGTATTCATGACCTATGTAGTATAGCCAATACTAAGGGATATTGTTTTCTGAAATGCAGACCATGTGGTGATGATCTCGGTTGCTTTTATTATAGTTCTGTTCAGTGTACAGAGATATGGCACAAGTAAAGTAGGGCTTATTGTTGGCCCTGCCTTGTTTATATGGTTTTGTTCTCTTGGGGGCATTGGCATATACAATCTTCTCAAATATGATACCAGTGTTTTGCGGGCATTTAATCCGATTCACATCTATTACTTTTTTGAGCACAATTCAACTAAGGCTTGGTATTCCCTTGGGGGCTGTCTTCTTTGTGCAACAGGTGAATTCTGAAGTACAATTTCGTTTCTTTATTATAATTTTCTCCAGATAATATTAGACACCAGCTCTCTAGGTTTTTTATGTACCTTACAACCTTCATGTATAATCAGTTCATAAGATGTCGAGGACTAAAAATATTCAAACTTTATTTTCGTATTTTATGCTGTCTTTACATAATGATTGCACTAACAGTGATTAGAATCTGATTATCAGTTACATGACCCAGGTTCCGAGGCAATGTTTGCTGATCTTTGCTATTTCTCTGTAAGATCAGTACAGGTAAGCAGCAGCTGTAGTGGTTAATCCACTCAGTTATTATGTGTTGTGTTTGTTTTTGAAAATGCAGTTTTCTTACCAAAACATGAATTTCTTGTTACAGCTTACATTTGTATTCCTTGTATTGCCTTGCCTCCTGTTGGGCTACTTGGGTCAAGCTGCTTATCTCATGGAGAACCATGCAGATACAACACAGGCTTTCTTCTCTTCTATTCCAAGTAAACACTCTTTCTCTCATACACTCAATGAATGAAAATTGTGTGCTTACTATTTGTTTACATTTTTTTTTTTTTTTTTGGGGGGGTGGGGGGAGGAGAAATAATGATTTAATGTGATTTTTGAATTAAACAAGGGTAACAAATGTGATGTTTTAAAAAAAATTAGAAGATCTAGTAAGAAAAAATAGGTTAAAACACACAAGTAAAGAAACCCCAAGGATAATGGACGTAAAGTTGGGGTGATAGCTTTGAAAATGCATAAGGCTCTTTCTTTTCCCCCTTATTAGCTCCAAACCAGAATATACTTCACAAACTACACCTCATAAGCTTGTAAGCTCCTAATCTATGTCAAACGCCCTCATAGTTTGGTAGCTAACTTGATTGTCAGGACACAGGTTAACAGTGACTAAGATCTTTGTTTCTTTCTTAATGTGCGGCAGGTGGGGCTTTCTGGCCTGTTCTCTTCATAGCAAACGTTGCTGCCCTGATTGCCAGTCGGGCAATGACTACTGCAACTTTCTCTTGTATTAAACAGTCAATAGCACTTGGTTGCTTTCCTCGGCTTAAAATCATTCATACCTCAAGGAAATTCATGGGTCAAATCTATATCCCAGTCATGAACTGGTTTCTGCTAGCTCTGACCCTGATTTTAGTTTGCAGCATCTCAAGTATTTATGAGATTGGAAATGCATATGGTAATTCCCTCGTCACATCTTTCTGAAGTTAAATTTTAGTATTGTAGTTTCTTCCTTGTTTTGTTTGCCTATCATTACATCTGTCTGCTTTTCTTCTTAGATAGGTAAGTAAAACCTATTCCACCTAGTAATTACCTCCCAGTCTCATGATTAATAGCTAGAGCAGTATATTTGTTTTTGTTTTCTTTGCTGGGGAGCTTTTAGTATTATCTTAAAGGATGCCCTTTTATTATTTTAATTTTTACTTTCAAAATTATGAAGAAGATAGTGATTGTGGATTTAGTGTTAGCTACACTTCATGATCTATCTTTTTCTCCCACTATAACGGATTGAGAACTTTGATGTTTTTTGGTAATAATTCACCTCTACTTTGCCACTCCCACTTACAAGATTTAAAGTCAAGTTTTTATCATTCAATTTTTGTTTTTGCATTTATCTTTATTTAGTAATGGCAATTATTAGTGGGATCCTTTAATCACCATCCAAATGAAGTTGCCTGGTGTCATTCTGGATTCTCTTTTAACCAATGCATACTCTTCAGCCTTGCCATGATCTGATTTTTCCATTTGTTTACAGGCATCGCTGAGCTGGGAGTCATGATGATGACAACTATCTTAGTAACACTAGTCATGCTTCTTATATGGCAGATAAACATTTTAATCGTGCTGTGCTTCGCCACTATCTTCTTGGGCATGGAGTTAACTTTCTTCTCTTCAGTTTTGTGGGGTGTAGGAGATGGAAGTTGGATCATACTTGTCTTTGCAATAGTGATATTTTTAATAATGTACATCTGGAACTATGGGAGCAAACTAAAATACGAGACTGAGGTCAGGCGAAAGATGTCCATGGATGTTCTGCGAGAGCTTGGTCCTGACCTCGGAACTGTTAGGGCTCCTGGCATTGGCTTGCTTTACAATGAGCTGGCAAAAGGTGTACCAGCTATATTTGGGCATTTCTTAACCACTCTACCCGGTGTGCATTCGATGATTATATTTGTGTGTATTAAGTATGTTCCCGTATCTGTGGTGCCCCAAAGTGAAAGATTTCTGTTTAGGCGTGTCTGTGCCAAGAACTACCACATGTTTCGCTGTGTCGCAAGGTATTTTTCTATGGCTCCTAACCTTGATATGGAATTATTATGTTTAGCTCAAGATCAGTGCCTACACATACAGAACTAACTATAATGCTTATTGCTTTTGGTTTACAATTAAGTACATGGATAACTAATGGACTCACACTTGTTCAGATCTTTGAAATCGATTGGGTTTGGTTTTGGATGTGTGGTTTTAGAGCCTTAGCCCCATAGTATTATCAATGGGCAGTCTGTGTTATATTATATTGACCAGGAATGGTTAATCCGGACGTCCAACATAGTAATATTCCTTTCTAATGTTAGTTTTAGAAGAGTTACACTGTAAGATATTGGTTGTTGGTAATACTAATAACCATGACATTAACAGATACGGCTACAAGGATGTACGCAAAGAGAACCATCAAACCTTTGAGCAGTTGCTGATAGAGAGTCTTGAGAAGTTCATCCGCCGGGAAGCTCAGGAAAGGTCCCTAGAGAGTGATATTGATGACATCACTGATTATGAAGAAGAGGAGGAAGAAGAAGAAGATAGTTCTACATTAAGAAATCTGGTTCCATCTAATGGCAATGTACACTCACTCAGAATCCCTCTCCTGTCCGAGATCAAGGACTCGAGCAAGTTCCTGTCGGAACAAAGCACATTGGGCGGGAGAAATCTAGGGGTATCCGCCGAGGAAATTAATATAGACTCGGAAGAGAGCCTCGAGAAGGAGTTGGCATTCCTGCGCAAGGCTAAGGAATCCGGTGTCATATACCTCCTTGGCCATGGAGATATTAGAGCAAGGAAGGATTCTTGGTTCATCAAGAAGCTCGTAATAAATTACTTCTATGCATTCCTACGAAAAAACTGCAGGAGGGGGACTGCAAATTTGAGCGTCCCGCACCCACGGTTGATACAGGTAGGCATGACATACATGGTGTGAAGATGTGAACTGATCTCTAAGATTCCTGGTGGAAGTAATCGCTGACTGTTACAGGTACATGTACCCTATAAGGTATAGCCTCAACTGATTTAGAGCTCCGGGGAATGATATATTTGGGAACATTTTGTAGCTTTTATGGTTGGAGGGAATTATTGTAGTATAATGATATGCTGATTCTATACATATGTCATCTTGAAAGCTTAAGAAACTTAACCTCACATAACAGAACTATAACGGGAACAGATCTAAGGATGGTACCAAAATATATATACATATATATATATATAAACTTGGGTTATTATTGAACTGTTGGATCCCAGCTTATAAACCAAAATAGAGATCGTCTTCTCGCACAAAAGATTAAATCGTAGATTAACTTATTTCCAACATTATATATGCCTTCAACCCATCCCACCACCAGTAGCGGTAGAGAAGTATTGACGAGAGTTTACTAGAATGGAAATAGATCCGTGACATACCATGAAGAAGAATGGCTGTTGCTAAATGAGTCCACTGCATCTTATGATTGAATTTCACCTTCAGTGACTTCTTGATCTGCCAATTTTTCATAAAGCTTGCATAAGTCACAAGAGATGGTGTAGTGTTCTGTTCAAATCTTATTATATTTTTCGTGATCGTAAGATATAAAGGAAGGATCCAAACTAGTAAGTATAACATTGCATACCTTTAAGATGGGAGGTGAACCCACAATTTGTCAAATGCTTTGCAAGAGCCTCTCCTATATCCTTACGCCAGTTGAGCGCTGCCTTGGCCTCCGGCACAGGCCATACCACTGCTGTCTCTGTTTCAAGATTCACGATGGCGGAAGAAACCTGCGGCTGCTCACAATTTTATAGTGCGACGCATTAGCTACATTTCTTTTGATCAAACTACAAATATCTCCCAAAAATCAGCGTGTAGAAGAAAATGCCAAGATATTGCATCACACCTAAATCACCTACCTAGACACACAACTACCTCAAATGTAGAAGAAACAAGCAACTTTTAATTATACCAAAAATACAATGCAAACGGAAGACAAACCAGATCAGATTCTTTATAGTTCACACCATTTATCACACAGAAAGTAATATTTCATCCTACAAAGCATTTTTGAAATTTTTGAAAATAATCGAAAGTGGAACCAAGCTCTAGGGTATGAGTTTTACATGAATCAAAGCTTGAAGCACTTACTTGACTCTCTAAAATTTTCCTCACACTCTCCGCGCATCCACCACAGGTCATCCCCTGCATCACCGACATAGTTAATTTCCTAACCACGAAGACTATAGAACGTTATTAAACTATAATCCTTTAGCAAAGCGCTTACTCCAACACCAAGAACAATTACATCCGAACTTAAAGCAAGTTCATCCGCACTTCCAGGCACCGCGGTCGGCTTAGCTTCGTCGCCTCCCGCCGCACCGTCTCCTCCGCCTCCACCTCCGCCAGAACCACCGTCAATGCCTCCAAATCCTCCACCTCCAGAATCTGACTTTACAGAAAACTTAAACCGCTTCCGATGCAGTCCTGGACTCCGAAAACACGAACCAGGTCCAGACCTACTCAGCTGAAGGGAAGCGAGCTGACTCGGCCGAGCCGCCGCGGGAATACCACAGTGAAGCTGCGCAACCAAAACGCCGGAACGGGAACTAGCATACTTGGAGGAGAACTGAAAAATCGGCGCCGTAGAAGCGCTAAGCGGCCGCAAAGTCGACTCCATTAGAACTTACCTCGTCGCCGGCGGCCGCTTCGGATACGATACAAGAGTAGAGACTGGCGGTTATGTAATGCGTGCAGCCAAGTAATTAAATGCGGTAGGTCGCGTGGGAATAAACTACGATTTCTTTGCATTTTCCGACAACGTGAAACACGCTTTTATTTATTAACCATTAGAAGAAACACGTTTTCAGTTTTATTCAAACTTACACTTTAACAACATACATTTCACGACCAAACCCATAATCAAAAATTCAAAATTAGGTTTGGAAAAAAAATACAAAAAAATCAAATTACTGCACTATAATGAAAATACCATATATAATAGTATACACTATCTAAATATTTTTATATTCAATGTGTCACTATATATCGATACCAATGAGCATCAAATTATTGGTAAGGTAACAATATATATTCAATGTATCACTATATATGGATACCATAATCAAAATGTAACGTCATTATATTGAATCAAAAGGCATATATGCATCTGGATTTCCCAAGAACAGTTCAATCAGTTACAAATATCTCTAACAAGCCAAGATCCTATCCTTTATTGAGTCTAAATCTCATCACTATTCCTCCAGACACAAGTCATTCACACAGAACTGAAGTTATGGTAAGAAATTCGGCTACGACGGCGAAGAAAAAACTCGAGCAAAAACTGTATACTGTAAGAAAACAGTTACGAGGTTAGACAAAGTCTCGAGAGTTACTTGGAGTTAGCCGGCGACAAGGCTTTCGTAAAGTAGTATGTATCCGTGATCCGAGTTGTTGGAGTACTCCTGGGCGGATCCAAAGTACGACTGGATGGCAGATTCGTCGATCATCTCCACGCTCTCATCGTCGAAGCAGAGCCAGTGGTTGTGGCTCTTGACGATACTTATGTAATGCCCGTGGTTTGGCCCTACCCCGACGTGCACCACCACGCCGTTCAACGAGTATTCCAGGTCGGCATCCTCTGTGGTGTTGCTGAGCTTTAGTTCGAGAGGGAATACGACCCGGTAGGATAGTTTTTTGTGTCGATTTAGCTGTTCCATGAACTTGAATCGCTTGAGATGGATGACGAGGATTCTTGGGGGTTTCTTGATCTTCATCCTCTTCTGGGCTTCTTGCAAACTGCGGATAGATTTGTAGATTGATTAGTTCTTGGATTTGCGATAACGAAACGTTGATTTAGGACGGGACGTACCTACAGCATTTGTCGCAGAAGAATTTGTCTTCCGCGTTCAAGGTTTCGGTGGAGCTGAAGTTCTTGAGGCAGCTGGTGATGGAGGTGTTCTGTTCGATGTCAAGGCTAAGGTCTAAGAATGTCTCGTCGCGGGCAGTGACTGTCTCGCACCATAAACACCTTGTCTCGTTTGTAAGTATGCCCTGTGTTAGACCAAGAAATTGAGATCTATCGAGATTCTGCTTCGACTATCAAATTATAATGTAGCAATGCTGTGGATGTCGACTGTGATTAATTACCTGGAAATTCTCGTGCACCCAATTCACGGTTTGATCGTGCTTAACGCCATTGACCTGACCACTAATCGATCCGTTCACTGCAACCTCATTTGTCGCTTTGTGAGACTCTTTCTCCAGTATGTCGACGAGTTGGTTGAGCAAGAAGTTCAGGAATTCATGAGCGTCCTGCGCGACAGAACATTTCCCGGGCACACAATACTTATTCCCGGAAATAATTAAGGTAATAGATTCTGTTCATCTCAGGCAACACATAGTTCGTAGAAATATCATCTTGTTAAAACAAAGCAAATGACATACCTGATGCATGAATCCTCGAAAAACATCGTTTTCCTTTCTAAGCCTTTGTATAAAGCGTTTTGGCGCTATTGCGCCGGTTTTCTTCTTCTGCAAACTAATCTGCATAAAGAACATTAATCACAGTTGATATGCTTGCTCGTGTCACAGGAAAAGGCAACGTTACCGATCAAAACAAATGCATAAGCTGAGATGTAAAGCAATCAAGATCTGCCGAATCTTATGGACATTCGAATGCCGGAAAGATGCATAGAGGCTACTGAATCTGAAGATTGCATTAAATAACTAATGGATAGATTATGGTAACCTGTGAGAACAGTTCTGCAAGACATGTTAAAAGATTTTCTTCAGCTTCTCCTTCGTTTTTGCTGTTCAAATAATACTCCAGCAGTTTTTCACGAAACGGCACACAGAAGTAGAGAGCCTAAAACAGCATAATCAAGCCATTAAAGTTACATACTCGAAGGGTGAATGCATAGTAAGAACGACATCAACAGGTAATCGAAACAAAGATGCAATTCAATCCTCTCTACCAGCAACAGATTAATCACCAACACCAAATCCATGAATCATCCATAGGAAATGCTTTAAGCGACACGAAAACGACGACAAAGCATTGTGCTAAGTAAAGGATCAACAAAGTGATTGATACATCTTCGATTAGAACAAGCAGTGGATACTGGATATTGATTGATTTTCAGCTTAATCGATGGTGCGAAAGAGAACAAGAATAATTATATGGTAAGAACAATCCTGATCCTCATCTGTTTCGAAAGCACCAAATCGTCAAAATTAGGGCATCGAAGGAATTAAAATTGAATCAGTGAACTCAGAAGAATTCATTCCAGAAGATCGAGAAAGGGAGATCAGAAATCTATGGAGAGACGGACCTGAAGAACGCTGTTGCAATAACAAGTGTTGCCGAAATTCTCCAGCCCGAAATACCGTTCGCCTTCGGGAAATTGATCGCCCAGCGCCTTCTCCAATTTGGAACTCGCCGCGCCCATCGTCAGTGCTACCCCTACCACCATGAACCGGAGCTTCTTCCTTTATCTCCCCAAGCTCTGCACATCATCATCGGACGCAGTCACCGCTGGTGGGGCACGGTTTTTCACTTTTTGCCCCCTTTCTCTCTCCCGAATCAGGGGATGCGAAAAGGATCTTCGACAATAGGGATGTCGGGGCCTGATTTCGGAAGATAACGTTGATATGACCTGACCTGATATGGAGTTGCGGGACAGAAGAGGGATTATCGAAAATTGGGGGTTGACTGTAAACCCTACCCTACCATCAACAAAATTTCCCACCTGAAATAAACCGACATCGCGAATTGGGATGACGCAGAGCAGGCGGCAAAGAAATCAAAACGGATCTGAATGACTCAACTCTTTACAGAAACGAATAATCGATTCCATGGTACATTTTACAGAAATTAATCAAAAACTATTTCACGCGCAACTCCATGAATATTTGGCTGCCCGTGTAGAAGATGAAACTCAAATGAAAGAGCAAGAAAAATATTTGGTTTGAATTATGGCTAGACTTTTGTTTATTTTTAAAAAATAAATAAAATTAATCACTCCATCTATAAAATATATATTCATTTGAATTGTATAAATAAAATATTTATATAATACTTCTTTGGTCTGTACAAATATCTTTTTTTAAATTTTTAAAAAAATTAATTATTTTTTAGTTTTAACTTAAATTATAATACACAGTGCAAAAATATCAAAAATCTTTACACATTTCCACTGATAACTATATTATGTGAATAGAGTAGATTTGAAATTATAATCACTTTATACTTATATAGTTATATTTTAAACTATATATCAATTTATTTTTCTTTATTTTTTTTGTACACTCATAAAAATACATGGGCATTTATTCAAATGACTTCATTACGTTGCAAAACATTATATACTATATTAAATTTGTTTTAAACTTGTATTATAAAACTACAACGAACCATATAATAAATTTGTTCGATATACATTTATAGTGTAAATAAATAAATTCAAAATTCTTTACAATGCAACAACATCAAAGATCAATTTGGGCACAAATTTTTTTCCTAAAAACATTATACTCCCCCTATCTCAAAATTATAGTCTATGTTATGTTTGATACGGAATTTAAAAAATATTGATATTAAATTGATATGGGTAAAAAGTATGGATAAAAAACTTTTTTGCCATTTTGAATGTATTAATGTAAAAAATATTGGCAATTGTGTAATAATAATGAAAAAATAAAAGTAATTCTATATTAATATAGTTATTTATGGAAATGAGACTATTGCTTTTTAATGAACAAAAATAGTAAATTAGTAAATAAGACTATTGTATTTAACAGATAAAATATTATATTGTTTGAAACATTGATACTATGTATAGGGAGATTAAAAGTATACCACAATGATATACTTCCACAAAGAGCAATATTAATTTGTTCAATTAATTACTATTTTCAATAGCAATATTTGGTTTGTTCATTAGTACTCGCTACGTCTCATATACCTTATACCATGTCTGCTACACTGTGCTACACAGTAGACACGATATTTTAGAAAATGTGTAATTAGTAGATAATTAAGAATGTATTAGTGAAAATAATTATTTTATAATATAAATAATTATAAATTAAAATTAAGATAACTAATAAGTTTAATTAAAAATATGTTTTTAATTTGATATATTTTTTAAAATAAATAACGTCAAATGAACGAGAAGATTGTGTGTTCTCAAAAGATCAAAAGCATAAAACTAATAAAATGAAAGTCTAACCAAATAAAATTAAAATATAATTATACTTTAAATAAATAATTAATTAATGACCACACCTGTCTCTAACTCTACGTATAAAAAGAGGCGCTGCGAACTGCATAAACGCCGTCTGAAAACACTCGTTAGACATCCCCAAAATTGCACTGCAACACGGCTTTCCGATCCTCGCCTTCCTTTCTCCGAAAAACACACGAATCAAACTCCCCGGACAGCCGTCGATGTATATTAACGCCGCCGCGCAGTCCGCCGGATCCCGCCGGGGCCTATGGTGGTGCTGGGGGAGCAGGTGAGGGTCAATTTCAGGGTTAGGGTTTGGCCTGTGACTGCCGTCGTCGTTGTCGTGGTGGCGGCTCAACCGCGGACTCCGCCAGCCGGAGAAAGACAAATCGAGGTTGTTGCCGGCTTTAATGACGTCATTAGCAAAAATTGATGAAATCTGGAAGCAAACGAGGATGAGTGTTAGTTTGGCGTCCACCATTGCTGTGGCTTACGTGAACTTCAAATTGATCGTATCGCCAGGTCAATTTATTTGGGATTTTGATTTGTTGAGTGAAATTTAAATTTTATCTGTTGTTAATTGTATTTGATTATCGGTTCGATTGTGGGGATAAATTATTTAGATGGAATTAGGATAAGATTAAAATTACTAAAATTGTTGGAGATTTTTTTGCTTGGATAAACATATGAAGCACTTGATCACATTATTGTAACTTTTAATTAATTTAATTAAATTAAATTGGATGATTACTGAATTTATACCATAAATTGGGTGTAACTGTTGTCAAATCTTTTAAGGTAGAACTTGAGTTTACTCAACGCTTGGATGATTGCATACTTTTGAAAAACTATATATTGTGTGTTTGTTTGGGGGATTGGATTGGATTTACACTGTTCATCCAATTTTTTTCCAAAAACATCGAATCAAACGCCTATTTTTTATTTTTTATATTATACTAAAAATCAATTTTACATTCAAAACATCACATCAATACATATTTATATCACATCATATAACTATTCAAATTCAAAATTTTTATTATTCAAATCTCAACTCAAAATCCAAATTCCCAAACAAATACGACAACCTAATTACAATAATATATTTTAATAAACAAATGTTAGATGTAATATTTTGCATGAAAAATTGATACGATCTTCAAATTTTTAAAATCTCTATCGTATAAAAATATATTTGGATACTGCTTTAATATGAGTGAGTAATATTTGTTTTTTTGGTTTGTTTGTTATAATAAAAAAATGTATAACTAATAATTAAGTCAAATAAAATAAAATAGAGCCTATACCGTTTATTTTCCCAAATGAGTCTTCATCCAATATTTTATTATCAAAATTACAATATATTCATACAATCTTACACAATATATAATATACTACTAAAATATTCTTATTTTTTTAATAATTTTAAAAAGTATATTAGAGTAATAATTAGGAATAGTTTAAAAAAGTAAAAATAATTTTGTTATAAAATGATGACCACAATTACTAAATAAGAAAACAAGATAATTATTTTAAGACTAAAAAAAAGGAAAAATACGATAACTCTATTGGAACGAAAGGAATATATTCTATGATAACAAGTTAATATTCATAAAATTATTTTTATATTACCTCGATTGTCCAAACCTAACATAAAAATTAATTTCACTTAAAATTTATTAAAAACAAATTGCTGACAAGGTCCCTACAAATATTATAACAAGAGTTTGTTTGGTTGTTTTAATCACACGTATTTTTTTTTCGATAACTTTTTTTTTCATTAAAAAAAAATCACGTAAATATTCAATTTTTATGCACTATATAACATCACAAATATATTTTTATTTAAAATATTATATCAAATAATTATTTTAATTCAAATTTTTATTATTTTTAAAATATAGAGAAAAATAAAACAAACAAACAAATTCGAATTCATACTTATATATAGTTTGATTTGGGACACGTTATTTAAGGCGATGATGTTTAATTAGTTAATAATAATTAGTTATGATATTATTATATTATTTTTATTAATAATTAATAATATTTATATTTTTAAAATAAATTTAATATATATTATTAAAAAACTAAAATATATATTTAAATATTTAAAAATTATATAGCACTTAAAAAATATATGAAATATGGATATCATTTTGTAGATAATAAAATTTTCTATAATACAAGTAAATAAAAAAATATTTTTGTTTATTTATAATTAACATAAATTAATTTTATAAAAGATGTGTAGTTTTAAATATAGATAAAAATATATTTTTTTTTTATGAGAGAGGTAGAAATAAAGGAATTTTAAGTAGGTTCATCTATGATGTTGTATGTTATGTAGTTAACTAAGTTGATTTATATTTGTTAAATATATTTTAATTTAATAATTTTTATCAAAGATGTCCATTGTTATGGACATACAAAAATAGAAATAGCGTAAGTGTGGTGGGAAGGAGTAAAAGGTATTGCATAATAACATTTGTATCTTTAATACTATAATATATTTCCAAGAAAAATAATAAATACTATTACTTTAAAATTTATAATATTGCTGAAATAGTACGTAATTAATTTAAAGTTAATGAGTGTACTTTTTTGTGATAATATTTTTTTTGGAATTTTTAAGTAAACAAATTATTAAAATATTTTGTACAAAAATAATATATTTTATTAGCAACATGTATTAGAATTGATAAATTTAAAAACGGGTATGTTATTTGCACAAATTTTTTTTAAAAAAAAAATATGTTACGTACATTTATTATTTTTATATTGCGTATCAAATTGTCTATATTTTATCTAAAAAATATTTTTTCAAATTATTTTACAAAACAAACACACTACACAACCAATATGTTTGTTTTGTTTGTATTCTCCTATGCTTTGAACAGTATTCATATAGTAATTTATTTGTTATATATAAAAATAATAATATATATTGTTGTTTAAAATATTTCATCTAAAAATTATTTTTTATTCACATTTTTAAATGTCTATTTAAATTCAGCATATCATTAAACACTTAATATCCAATCCATACTTAAATTTCCTCCGTCCCATGTAATATGGGTGTATTACCGTAGACACGGAAATTTAGGTAAAGTATAATTAGTAAGTAATTAAAAAATATATTAGTAAAATTAATTTTTATTTAGTAAAAATAATTATAAATTAAGATTAAAATAAGTAAATAGTTTAATTAAAATTAAGAAAATTATAAAATTTAAAATTTAAAATGCGATTAAAGTGCATAATTATATTTCTAAAAATAAAAAGGACAAGTTATGTGGGACGGACGAAAATAGAAAATATGGACAAATTATGTGGGACGGAGGGAGTAAATTAGAAGGGTATTTGTAAATGTTAGGTACATGTAAATTAGAAGGGTATTTGTAAATGTTAGGTACATAATATAATTATTAAAAAAAATGAATACTTTATTATGAGACGTACCAAATAAATAAATTATTGAAGAACAGAAGGAGTATTATTTTTTAATGTATGCAAAACCCGAATAATCCATTTAAACAAAAACTGATAAAATATTATTTTTACACTACAAACTAAGTTTTTAGTTACATTGCAGTACTAATTTTTTATTTTTTTTCAAATCACCAAAATTTAAAAAAGCTCCGAAAATCTCATATATCTAAGCACAACTTAAAACACTTAACTAACAAATTTAAATCAAACACGACCGATATCGGTCCGAGGTACACCTCCCACCAAACAACAAAATTACTTTATTACAATAATAAAAACTACACCTCTACACCAAAAAGATGACTGCATAATAATAATAATAATAATAATAATAATAATGCAGTCAAACAAACAACCACTGCGAAACAGCGATGAAGAAGAAACAAAACAGCAGAAGGCAGCAAAGTCAATAAGGGGAGGGAAGCCTGACCTCCAAGTCTCGCCATTCTCGCCCTCTCTCTCTCAATCACACAATCAAACCGCTTAATTCATCTTTCCCTCAATTTGTTTTTCTCGATTTCGCCCCTATTCGGTGATCCGATTACGCGTTCTTTTGTTGTTTTCTTCATTTTGTTCGCGGCTTTACAGTTGTTTTGTTGGGAAAACGTCGGCGGTTTTGTTTTTTTCGTCTGATTTGAGTCGGTACGGGATGATTTCTGCTGTGATTTGAAGTTTGTGTGCTTTTGAATTGGGAGTATTGAATCGCGATTGTGCTGCTGCAAGCTGTTGCTGATCATGATTTCGTGCAGGTTTTTTTAGGTTTTTGGCTATTCCTGTGAGGTAGATGTTGATTATTGCTGCGGTGGCGGTGATTGAGGCGCTTTGAGATAACATGGATATCGATATTCTGTGCTGCTTCAAATGCTCGGAGGTGATTCTACGGTTTATGCTTTAACTTTCTGGTTCTTATTTTGATTTCGGTAGAAGCTAAAGTTTGTGTTTATGGTGAATTGGTGTTTGATTGAATATTCGTACGGTGCCTGATCTGTATCTTCTAGATTGTTCTAAGCCTTTGTTTCTGGTTCCACCGTGATTCTTTTGGAATGAGATCGATGCTTTAAATGCAAATAGAATTCCTTCTATTTATTTCTCTGCACCATTGCTTCAATCATTTGTATAGTAATCCATTTTTGCAGAGAATTTCCAGAGGATGATTGGTGATGATAACCATGCCCCTTTTTTCCACCTTTTCATTTATAGGTCTTTTGTTGTGAATAATGAATCTAATAATCAACGATTGTTTGATTGTTTCTATACTTTTGGCTTGATGTAGCTGTTAAAATGTTCTTATTTCGATTTAGATTGGAGGAGGGCGTTCGTCGTCTGGGTCGGGGAAGGGAAAGAGCCACCAGGGGAATGCTAAGTATGGATTTGTATTAATAAAAGGGAAGGCAGATCATCCCATGGAGGACTTCCATGTTTCTAAATTCATGCCGGTCCAAGGGCGTGAGTTGGGGCTGTTTGCCATATTCGACGGCCATTTGGGGGACAGTGTGCCAGCTTACTTACAGAAGAATATGTTTCCCAATATCTTGAAGGAGGTTAGCTGCATTCATCCTGGAATAATTTGTCGAATTGCTGTTGTGAATTCGATTACAACTAACAGAATCTTAATGTCGTAATAGTTTATCAATTTATATCGATTCTCCTGCTTATCAGTGCTAGTTGCATTCATCTTGAAATAATTTGTCGTTTGCTGCTGTGAATTCGAATACAACTAACAGAATCTTAATGTCGTAATAGTTTATGACTTTATGTCGATGCATATCGGTGTTAGTTGCATTCATCCTGGAATAATTTGTCAATTGCTGTCATGAATTCGATTAGAACTAACAGAATCTTGATGTCGTAATAGTTCATTACTTTACGGCGATTCTCCTGTATATCGGTGTTAGCTGCATTCATCCTGGAATAATTTGTCGTTTGCTGTCGTGAATTCGATTACAGCCAACAGAGTTGACGCCGTAATAGTTCATGACTTTATGGCGATTCTCCTGGGTTTCAGTGTTAGTTGCATTCATCCTGGAATAATTTGTCGTTTTCTGTCGTGAATTCGATTACAACCAACAGAATCTTGATGTCGTAATAGTTCATGACTTACAGCGATTCTCCTGCATATCGGTGTTAGTTGCATTCATCCTAGAATAATTTGTCGTTCGCTGTCGTGATTTCGATTACAACCAACAGAATCTTGCTGTCGTAATACTTTACGACTTTATGTTGATTCGCCTACTTACTGATGTTCTTCGATTATGATTGGTTGTTCAATCGCTACTTTTAAATTGCCCACGTTGCATAACACTTTTGCTTATCGGTTTGATTTTGACGGTGTCGCGTGATGGCAGGAGGACTTCTGGACGGACCCGTGTAGGTCTATCGCAAAAGCTTACGAGAGAACTGATCAGGCGATTCTATCGCACACCCCTGATCTCGGCAGGGGTGGCTCTACTGCAGTCACTGCCATTCTGATCGACGGCCGGCAGCTATGGGTGGCCAACGTTGGAGATTCACGGGCAGTCCTTTCCCGGAAAGGGCAGGCCATACAGATGACGATCGATCATGAGCCAAACACCGAGCGCGACAGCATCGAAAACCGAGGTGGATTTGTCTCGAACATGCCAGGTAGTTACAGCTTGTTGTTATAGAACCGCAATTGTCAATTTTATTTCTAGCCGAATAATATTGAGCTCGACGGCGCGTTGTTGTTTGCAGGAGACGTCGCGCGAGTGGATGGACAGCTGGCTGTTTCTCGTGCCTTTGGAGACAAAAATTTGAAGACGCACTTGCGATCCGACCCGGATATAACGAGCGCTGATATTGATGCAGACACCGATCTCCTCATCCTCGCCAGCGACGGATTATGGAAGGTTTTTATTTATTTCTTTTTCTCGGCCCCTCGATTATTTGTGTCTTTACTTTTGATGTCAATCGATTACGACGACATCCATTTCTTGAACAATTCAGGTGATGTCGAATCAAGAAGCTGTGGACATTGCGAAGAAGATCAAAGATCCTCAGAAAGCGGCGAAAGAATTAGCGTCGGAAGCACTGAAGCGAGAGAGCAAGGACGACATCTCCTGCATTGTCGTCCGATTCTGAGCGGTATCGGATCGAAGGACGCCGTGCAGCTCTCTCGGCGCAGTGCCTCCGGCCGCCTCCGACGATGGATAATGACAGATGAAATGGTGCCGGAGATTGCGAGGTACAACAGGTGCTGCTGTTGGCTGTCTATATATATATATATATATATAAGAATGGTTTTTCTCTGTGTGAAAAAAAAAAAGAAGGCTTTTTGTTGTTTGAGTTTACTATTGGTTGATTTATGCTTGTTTGTTTCTTCTTGTGTAGAGATTTTTACCATTTGTTTTGTTTTTTTTTTTGCATAAGAAACGTGGGATTGGAGCTCTTTTCTGCTTGTGTAATAATCCATTATGATGGGACAAGGTTTCAAGGACATTGTTTTGTATATTTGTGGAGGAGGGACTTATTATTGGGCTCAACTTGTCAAATCTGAAAACTAAACATATATATAGTTTGAATTAATAATGTGTGATAAGTATATTTTTTTGTATTGAGATGTGAAGTGTCTTTCATTCAACAGATTTTTTGATATATTTGTAATTTTTTAATAATATTTACGAGGAATTGTTTCATTGGAAAAATACTTAGCTAACAAATTATAGTTGTCTTTTATTACATTATGAATAAATACTTAGCTAACAAATTATAGTTGTCTTTGATTACATTATGAATAAACGGAGTGGTTTAAAATTTATGTGTTTTTTGTTGAATCAATTTTACATTATTTTGGATAGAAGTTTGCAGAATTTTATTCTCGGGAAAAAGTCATTTTTTTGTCCCAATATAATTAAAATTCATTAATTTTGGTCCAAATATAAAAATCTTATCAATTTTGGTTCTAATATAATCAAAATTATCACTTTTTATACCAATATAATCAAAACTCATCATTTTTTGTTTCAATATAAAAATTTTATTAATTCTAGTCTCAATATAACCAAAACTCATCATTTTTTGTCATAATATAATCAAATTTTATTTTTTTGGTCCCTGTCAACAAACCTACGGAAAATGTTGATGCCATAAGAGGACAAAGTAGGAGCATTTCAGGAGATCATTTTCCTAGAGCTCTATACTTTAGTGAAATTTTTTCTTATAGTAATACATCTCGAATGATATTCAGAACTTGTCTGTACTCTGATATAGGAGATTCATACAAATGTTGGTAAGAGGCACAAAATGAAAATAAAGAAACTTTGGAGGACATATGCCAGGAAAATCATTGCATCTCAGCTGGAAAAATGCTTTATGAAAATTACACTGGAATCCCTGTTGTCAAAGTGCGTGTAAATGGAAAAATGCAGGATATAGAATCTGCATCGTCTAGTTCCTCTCCTTACGAGAGCTGCATGTCATCTCATTTTGTGTCGGTTTGTTGATGGTGGAAAAAAAAGAAGAAGATAAAATTTGATTATATTGAGAAAAAAAAAAATGATGAGTTGATAAAAATTTTATATTGAGATAAAAAAAAAAAAATGATGAGTTTTGGTTATATTGGGATCAAAATTGATAAGATTTTTATATTGAGAGAAAAATTGATAAATTTTGATTATATTGAAACAAAAATAATTTTTTTCCTTTATTTGTTTTTTTTAAGCAAAGTGGATAGCATGCTCAAATTAATCACCCCTTAATCATCTAAATAGTTAAATTACTCTTGTTTAATTAAAATTAATAAATAGTTAAAATTAGAATTAACGCATGCTGAATTTATTTAACAAATCAGCACTTGTTCCCAACCTTTTTCTCTTTTTTAGAAAATAATACAAAATACTTGTGCCGTCGTTGGTAGTTTCTCCAACATTCATGTCATCATTTCGGTAAAAAGTTTACTGATTGGGTTAGAAACTCCATTTACTTTTTATTTTTATTTTTTCTATTTTGTTTATTTTTATAATACTCACTCCACTTGCAAGTTTTCTTTTTACAATATTTTTTAAATAAATTAAATAATAATAATAATATTTTATTGGTTTATAGGGATGTATAAAACAATTTTAAAATACTATCTTCGGCTCTGAAATCACATTTATTTTTTACGTGTTGATTTTTAAATATTAATTATTATATCAAAACGTAGTACAAATTAAAGAAAAATTACAAAAATATTTTTATTAGTGTCTTATAATATTCTTAGTTTTGAGAGTCAATAAAACACTCTACTTTGTCGGGTGCATCTTATAGTGTTCTTACTTTAGCGTGCGTTAGAGATGTGTGCGGGTTGTACTAGCGAGTTCTCGAGGGAGTCGAAGAATCGCTAGGGCGACGGGAAGGTGTTCTAGGAGAAACCATCTGTCCCGTTACAAATAGTATCAGAGCTGACCTTGACGGTGGTGACGAACGAAGCAGATGGATGACCAGTTCTTCAGGAAGGAGCATGTTGAGGGCGGCACGACAAGGAAGAGCATATCTAAGCAAGGCTGGACATTCCAGGGTGGAGTGCTCCTTGAGAAGGAGTATGTTCGACAGTGCTGGTGCGCCAAGATGGGCGAGTTTTGTTCGTGAGAGCGGAACCACGTCGAAGACGATTCTCGGGCGAAAAATGGAGAAGTTGCAACATGGGTGTCCTGGATGGCGTTGTTGGAGACGAGCAGTGTAGTAGGCGAGTTGTGGGTCAGCTATGGCAAACCTCGCTGGGGGTTGGTGAGCACAACGAGGTACGCGCGAAATGGTCAATGGAGTGATGCATGGAGGCAAGCCCAATATGCAAGAAACAACGTCGGTGCACTCAAGTGGCGTCGCACGAGGGCGTTTGCGACTTTGAGTGGGGGAGAGTATCACGAACTGACATTTCTGCCAAGGTTCTCGGCCATAGTCCGTCCCATGTGTGTGAGCTCTGGTCATATACCACTAATCAACGGCATATGTCTTTGGTGGAGATACGCGTCCTGCCTTATTTATCCTGTATTATTCTGTACAGATTTGTTGCGCACAAGAGACGCTAATAGAAAGACATAGTAAAAGAAATTATATAATAAGAATATTTTTAATATTAAGTAAAATTACACAAAAAAAAAATATAATCCTTATAAGCGGAAAAATATTTATTATTTACTTTTTGAATGAAAATTGAAATGGTAAAAAATATACAGTGACAAAATTATTTTTTTATTTATCTATTATATTATTAACTGTAAATATTAATATACTATACATGAAAAAACAAATGAATATATATGACTTGTATAAAATAATATTTGTTTTTAATAGTATTTTTATGTAAAATATTACATTAATAATTCAAATATAAGTTTTATTTTTTAAAAAAAAATAGAAAAAAATATTATAAACTAGAAAGATAATAATGTTTTAAAACAATAGTCTTGTTTTAGTAAATACTCATATTATTACACAACAATTGCCACTATTTTTTTAGATAAAAAAAAATTTATTTGATATTTTTTATATATTATTAATATAATATTAATATTTTTTAAATATCATCAAATTTAATTAAAATTATATTTATAAGAGCGGAGGAAATATTATTTTTTATTTTTTATTTGCGAGTATCTATCTATATGCATATCCGGCGTATCATATTGCGTGTACGTTTTTCTTGAGTTTCTTTTATTTTTATTATTTATTGTGTTAATATATTTCACTGTTCTGCCTCTCTCTCCTTAAACCCTTCGTTTATTTTTCTCTCTCTCTAAAACCCCAGTCGGTCTCTCTCCGTCGTACCAAGCGGACAAATCTAAATTCGCCGACCTTTCTATCAATTCAACCTTGAATCAATCGATTAGTACAATTTTGTGGTTGTTAAATGTCTGGATTTTCTAAGCTAAATGCGCAGAGTCCGAAGTTGTGGGTGGTGATCGGCGTGGGCGTCGCCGGATTGTTGATCCTTGCGGAGGTTCAACGGCGTCGAATCAAAGCGAAGAACGAGGTCAGAGAAGATTTTGGAGCTTTTATCGAACGCTTTGAGATTCCTCCATTTCCTCAGCCTCCTCCTCCAGCTGCTCCTCTACCGCTCTCTGGCCTTATATTTGCCATTAATGACAAGTACATGACCGTTTTTTGCTTGGCTGATTTCTAGTTTTGGTTCCATTTAGTATACAGTTTATTGGTGACAACATTTTAATTGTTATATAAAGTGATCTTGGTGTTGGGTGTTGTGAAAAGGTGTTTGGATGAGTTTTGCATATGAAATATTTTAACTGAAAGTAAAATTTGGATGATGAGATTTAAATGGTAGCGAAAACACAAGCAAACATACTCTTTTATTATTTGGAGAACTTTTAATGTTAAAGGTTTGGATATATGATGCAACTTGTATTTCTTGGAAGTTCAATATGGCTAGCGATCTCATGCGTATTTTGTTTCTGAAAACTAGTGCGGGCCTGTTTTCCCATTCCAATATTTATGATCATGTGAAGTTATTGCAGCCTGCAGGTCAAGCGATGATTAGTTTAGAGTAAAAGTAGTTTCAAGAAAACAAGCTTTGTATTCCTGCGTAGTATTTGTTTACCTCTGAATTCATATTTCATAATCAGTTTTGGCTGTGATGCAGCTTCGATGTAAAGGGTTATGTAACGGGATATGGAAGTTCAGACTGGAAGAAGACGCATGATGCAGCAGGGAACACTGCTGTAGTGGTCACAACAATGCTAAAAAATGGTGCAGCCCTTGTGGGAAAGACAGTTATGGATGAGCTTGGCTGCGGGTATTCTTCTAACCCGAGCAGAATTTTTGTTTTATATTGCATTTTCTGATTCAAATAAATGAAGTTACATTGAAAAAGCGAAATATAAATAAGTGTGCCGAATCAATTCTGCAATTACAAGGTTAAAGATAGAAGTGTGGTGATTATTGCTTCAATTGTGCTGCATTTATTATTTGAGTTTGAAATACTTACTCTTCATTGGGATGTACATTATATGTCATATCCTTTGTGGGGAATAGGATGCTGGCATGAGGCAGAGAAGGTGTGGTCTGTTTGGGTGCTAGATAATGCAGTTCAAGGGAAGACACTTATGGTCTTTCTTGGACATTAATTACAGGATACTAGGCGAAAATAAGAACTATGGAACTCCAACCAATCCACAAAAGCCATCTCATGTTCCTGGAGGTTCATCTAGTGGATCAGCTGTTGCTGTTGCTGCACAAATTGTGGATTTTTCTCTTGGTATAATCATTTGCGCTGCATAACTTTAAATTTGCTTTCTTTATTATCTACCTGAGTTCGTTATAGCACTCCAATATAATTTTTGTAAGTAAAAATCAGTTCTTGATTTCATCATTTTATCTTCCACTTCTTTGGAACTTGTGCTGTTATTTAGCAGATGATTAATCTTAGATTTAATTTCACATTGTCATGCTTGCTTGCTTCCTCTTTTATTTCCTTGTGTAGGTTCCAGTATTTAAGGTCACCTGACTGATGTGTGAACTTGCTTTGTATTCTAATTTTCTATGATATTGTAGGTACCGATACAGTTGGTTGTATAAGAGTACCAGCATCATTTTGTGGAATACTTGGATTCAGACCATCTCATGGAATCGTATCAACAGTTGGTGTTTTACCAAACTCCCAAAGCTTGGACACTGTTGGTAGGCAATCAGATTTCTAAGAGTTTAAGTAGTTGAAATTCTTACTGCTGCTTGCTTGTATAACAAACTAGTGAATAAAAAAGCATCAACACTATTAGCTAATCGTAATTGCTGTCATTGATTAGGCCTTTGTTCATTGTTGACGGGAAGTGGACATATTTCCTAGATGACTTCAAATGGACTAATAGTGGTTAATCATAATTGCTGGCATTGTGATTTTGGCATGTAGAGATTACTGTTGTCGTCATGTTTGCTTCATATCTATACCAATGATTGTTTATGTGAGTCCATATCATTAACATGTATGCCTATAATGACATTCGATAGAAAAGAATAGCTTTCTCGTATCAGCCACTAATATTTAAAATCACACTGGTTCAGGGTGTTTGGCATCTGATCCATCTGTTTTGCATCGGGCTGGACATGCTCTTCTTAGTTTAAATCCATTGGAGCCTAAAAGGATACCACGCATAATGATAGCAGATGATCTTTTCCAGATTTCGAATATGTCGTTGCATAAGATCGTTCATATTATAGGCAAAGTGACAGAGAAGTTATCAGGCTGTAAGTCTTTACATTGGTCTGATATCACTTCTGGAGACAAGTTTCAAAATGAAAGCCCATGCTTTGGGTCCAAATAAGTAACCAAATATTTAATTTACATTTTTTTCTTTTCCAGACCAGGCACCTAAGAATATGAATTTTAGCCAGTACCTTGCATCAAAAGTGCCCAGCCTAAAATCATTCCAGGAAACGTCAACAAGAAGGGAAACTGGAGGATCTGATCTGAGAGCATTGTCTTGTGCGATGCATTTTCTTCATAGGTTTTACCCAAATACTTGTTTATATGGCTCTTTTCTTGATTTTTAAGTATGTTGGATTAATGCACGTGAATAGTAATCTGCAGTATCTTTTGCTGCTTTCATCTATTCATCGTTTATTAAACATTATACTAAGTATGGATTTAACTAGCCTTGGTTCTTACATATTGAGTATCATCGATATATATGTATATATTTTTTTCAATTATCTGTGTACGATGAAAAGGAAACATATTTATTTTGTGATGCAAGGGAGCAAACCTGATACTACCTCTGTCCACGGTTGAAGTAATCGTTTACTTTTGGGACGGAGTTCAATGAATATTGTATTCTGATGATAGCTGGTGTAACTTTTTGTGTGTAAAACTGTTTTCCCTTGACAGATGCCCAAAATGGTGAAATGTTTACCTTTCGAACAGAGGATTCCTATTTAAGCCTTTGTATCTGATCAGATCCTTTTCTTTTTTACTTTTCAGATGGGAGTTTGAAACAAATCATAAAGAGTGGGTTAAATCTATCAAACCCAAGTTAGGCCGGGGGGTCTCTAGTGAAGTTTGGCCAGCAATAAAAACAGCCCAAGAGAATGTCAAAAGCTTATATCAAGTCAGAACGGAAATGCGACTTGCTTTACGAAGTCTCTTACAGGTAAATGATCTTATTTCTATTGTAATGGATTCCTTTTCCCATCATTTATGGTGGCCATTGATAGAAAAGTTGTGCTTATTGGTGGCAGTCTTAGGAGATATTAAAGGATGGAATCTTTGTTTACTCTATTCAAATTTTTTATATCATGAAACACTGGATCAGCACCAGAATCTAAATTTTCACTTCTCAAGTTGCTTTCAGGCAACTGTATATTGGTTTATGCATAAAGGTAGAACTTCATTTAGTTGTCCTGAAAGTTGAAGGTTGTATCTGATTCTGTCTCTCATCTTTTAAACTTGTAATGTTATCAGAACTAGAGGAATCTATGAAATTGGTGATTAGTTGGGCACAAAATTTAATCTCGATCGTGGATGGTTGGATTCCCCTCCAAATCTTGTCTATAATCAAAGTGAGATCATCAGTTGTCATAGGGGCTCTTGAAGCAGAAGATTTAATATTGAAACATGTCATTTAACTGCAATTTGACTGTGTTGCAATACTAGGTTTCTGTGTTGGATAACATACATATGAGTAAGAATCGTATAGGGGACTAGGCTGACATTGAAAATTTGAGGTCTGAGAGAAAATAACAATAGTAATATTTAATAATCCATTTGGTTTGATTACCATCAGAATGAGTCTGGACTTCCAAGCTTAGTTTATTGAGAGTTAAATGTGTTATTATACTTCATAAGAACATCTGATTTGGAATTGGAATATGATATTTTAACTTGCGGATGGCATTTTTTTCATACTCCAACTCAATAAATTCTCTTTATCTTAAATTTGTTTGACCTTTGTTCTTCAGCTTAATACAACTCATTTTTTATGATTTGCACCTAATTGGTTTAATCACTCTCCGTGAATTTTGAAGGATGATGGGTTATTAGTAATTCCCACGGTAGCTGATCCTCCTCCTAAGCTGAATTCCAAGAAATCTTTCTCAGCAGAGTTTCTTGATAGGATGTATGCTTTGTCAGGCATTGCAAGCATGTCCGGAGGTTGTCAGGTAATTTTATGTTTCCAAGGTTTTAGCAGCTTCTAATATTTCTTGCTTTCGAATCCAACTAATTGCATGTTAATCTTTAGGTTGCCATTCCATTTGGAGAACATGATGGCTGTCCAATTTCTGTGTCACTTATAGCATACCATGGAAGCGACAAGCTCTTACTCGATACTGTTTTGGATATGTATTCTTCTCTGCAAGAAGAAGTCAGCATTATTTTTGGTCCTCCGCAATTGCCAGAAACTAATGGTAACATGGGGGATGCTGAACTACTTAAGGAAAAGGTCAAATTTCTTATCTTGAAGTACTTCTTATTGTTTCCTTTGGCCCATTCTAATATTTTGTTATTAATTATTTTGACCTAATGGAATGTGAATATTCTGAAGTTGGAAGTTATGTGTGTTCAGAACTAACTTTCCTCTGATCTTACTATGCAAGTTGTTCAGAAGTTTATGATTCAATGGATATGAACATATACTGTTGTAAATCTGATGACTTTACCGGCTGAATCCAAGTGCTTATACTTAATTTAAGCTATATACATAAACACTAAATGCTAGAAACGCTTGTACTTTCTTGCATCTAGCAAGGATGATCATCACTCTTTTATACTTTTTCCGTGTTCTCTAACTTGTGCTGGTTTATGTCTTGTCCCCCAAATGATATTTCTAATATTTCAATTTTTATTATTCATGTATGCATGCTTGCGGCTTTGGATTTTATTTTATTCTTCTTCACGTTTCAGGGGAATGTTGCATATAATGCAAAACAGTGGAATAAGGCTGCCAATCTCTATACCGATGCGATAAACTTGGATGGTCTAAATGCAACTTACTATTGCAATAGGGCAGCTTCATATTTGATGTTGCGATGGTCAGTGATGTTCTATCTTTGTTCTTTCGTTGCATTTTCTCCCACCCTCCCTCCCTCACAATTAGTCACTATGGATGTCTCCTTACTGGTAGCTCCTTATGCAGCTTCGAAAAAGCTGAGGAGGATTGCACCAAGGCATTATCTTTGGATAAGAGGGTGAGTGACTTTATATTCCTTTTTCCACCATACAAAAACTTTTAATCATGATTTATGTACCTATCATCATTGGCTTTCTTAGCATTTCAGAGAAAATGTTACTGGCGATTTCAAAAAATTAATTATGCTATGAACTGTATGATTTGTTCGATTCATACACTGCCGCCATAGGTTAATGAAATAGCATGTTGACCTTATTTACCGATCTATGCTGACAACAATATTTTACCACAGGTTAATTGACGGTAGCATTATTAGTTCTTGAATTATAGTTTGAGGACTGTGTTTAGGATTGATGTAGCCATACATTATAGCTTAACAAATTTCTGCTAGCCATATTGAATAAATTCAACTTCATTTCTGGAAAAAAAAAAAAAAGAAGAAGAAGCAATGCTGTAGAGTTCTTGATTTCTGCTATGCATATTGAATAAATTCAACTTCATTTCTGGAAAAAAAAAAAAAAAAAAAAAAAACAAAGAAGCAATGCTGTAGAGTTCTTGATTTGAACTGTCCCAACTAACTCGATTTTCCTCAATCCGCAGTACGTGAAAGCCTATTTAAGGCGAGCTAAAGCTAGGGAAGAACTTCATAACTACACAGAGGCCCTCAAAGGTCAGTCAATGTATTCATCCCCAATCAAATTATTCAGATGCTAAATATTCACGTGATCTATCTGAGACTTTATTCATATGCCCGTTGGTGTGTATTAACTACTAAAATGTATGTAAACATCGCAGATTTCAAGCTTGCTCTTGTTTTCGAACCACAGCACAAAATTGCCACACAGGCCGTAAAGCGACTAACAAAACTGGTCAGTTGAGACTCTCCTCTGCCCCATTTTTATGCTCTAATTAAGCAGAGAAAATTTCAGGAAACATCGATATATAGTGAGACTTGGACTTCCAATCAAATATTCTATTTATGGTTTGAGATTTTGAGACGTGCACGTTTATAGGCAATGCTGAAAATGTTGGAGGTGAGTAAACAAGATTGAATTTTGTCAATGCAAATAATGTGAAAGTTCCATCTTGCAAATAAATATTCAGTGTGTGCACGTGTTATAGGGTGTGTTTGTTTGGGGGTTTGGATTTTGAGTTGGGATTTGAATAGTAAAAATTTTGAATTTGAATAGTTGTATGATGTGATATAAATAGGGTTTGATGTGATGTTTTGAATGTAAAATTGATTTTTAGTATAATATAAAAAATGAAAAATAGGTGTTTGATTTGATGTTTTTGGGGGGAAAAAATTGGATGAATAGTGGAAATTCACCAAAATCCTTCAAACAAACACATTAATGCAATAGTATGTAAATTTTGACAGCTAAGAAAACCTATTCTTGGGGTTTTTGGATTTTGATAGTGTGGATTGTGAAAATATTTCAAATAAATATTAGTTTATGCGTTTCATTACAAGATTACAAATTTCATTTTTCTTTTAAGGGTTCTGTCATTTTTTTTTAAAATAAGAAAATATATTATTATTAACAGTACAATTGAATTTATATTTTTGACACATTTATTGGTGTCATTTTGCATGAATTAAGTGCATGTAATTTGTCATGTATTATTGATGTGCATGATATTCATTTCATGTGATTATATATGTGCCTTTTATTATATGATGTTTTATCACCAAATTTGATGGCTAATTATTTTGTAAATTGCCTATAAATAAGTTTTTTATTTTTTATTTTTGGTTGAAATGAAACATCATCCCTCTATAATTTTTTCTCTCGTCTCTCTATTCCTATTGCCAACCCCCCCCCCTCTCTCTAGAAATACACACTCACACGTTTATCTCTCTCTATATATATTTATACATCCATATATTATATACCTATATATCTAATTTAGTACATTCACACATCTATATATTTACAAGATGGGGTTGTTTATTTTGAATGATTATGATGAATAATATGATTTTATTCAATTTAACTATATGTTTATTGTGTATTATTATTAGAGCCTGCCGACAATGGGTCGATTCGTATCGGGTTCGTGTCGGGTTGACTACTTTAAACGGGTTAAATTACTTAATTTTAATCCGATGCGTTTATTATCATGTCGGGTTCGTGTTAACCCGTTTATTATCGTATCGGGTTCGGGTTGACTCGTATACATAATTAAGTCTAATTTTTTGATTTAAATTAAATAATTTTTTGTTTTGTTGTCGTGTTATGTTAATTTTTATTGGTTTGAGCGTAAATTAGGTTGACTTATTTAAAATTGAATTTAGTTTAAATTAATTTATAAAAAAATAATTAAATTATGATTATTTTTTATATATAATAAATATATTAATCAATATTAATATATTATAATCGGGTTGTCGTGTCGGGTTCGAGTTGAGAGTTTAAACCCTAATCCGACCCGTTTATTATCGTGTCGGGTTCGTGTCAATCCGTATACATAATCGGATTGAAATATTTGATCCAAATCCAATTATTTCGTGTCAAGTCGTGTCGGATCAATTTTTGTCAGCTCTAATTATTATAATAAGAATTAAGCAAAGTTCATAATAGCATGATTATTAATCGTTTTCTTCTGAGTATGATTAAATAACATTAAATAGTATTAATACTCAAAAGATATTTTGTCTTTTATTAATAATTAATTTAGTATTAACTTTATTATATAATTAATGATGTTTTAGAAAATAATAATAATAATTTTATACAATATTTTATTAAAGTAAATATTATGTTATTTTATCACATTATTATATAAGCTCGCTATTTATATATAGATTGTTTTTATTATAATAAAAAAAATTGTCTCAGGTCATCTTTTTATAAAAGTTAAAAATAACATTATTTTTTTTATATATGTATGGTACCTAACATAAAAAGTATACAAATTTATAATTAAGAGGAAATATTTTTTTTTTTCGTAAAAGTTAAATTGTAAAAAAGAAATTGTCAAATAATTCTGTCATTTCTTATTTCTTTTTTTTTTCTATTATTTTGTATATATTTAAATAATAGAAATAGAGAATGATAAAATACAGTATTTATTTTCAATCTTTTTAAATAAGAAAACAAATAAAGGTAATTCTATTTTTTATACTGCGAGTTCCCGTTTTCCATTTTAAGATGTTTAAGGTTATTTGATATACTGTTATTTTTAAGTAAATTTATCTAATTTAAATATATTTAATAAATATAAATAAATTTAATTAATAGGAAATTCGTAATCTTATCCAATTAAATTTTTCTTATCTCTTTTAATAAATAAATATTTTTATTTATATTTAATTTTTGTATTATAATTAATTTATACTATTAATCATAAATAAATATATTTATTTGTATTATATATAATTTTTTTTTAATATTATTTTAAGATGATTGATAGGAAATTTAGGAATCTTCTACTCCCTCCTCCTTTTAAGATTACTTTATATTTTTTAATAAATTTATTCATTTTAATATATATAATAAATATAAAATAATTAAATAAAATTCACTTAAAAAACTTTTATTATTATTTGTATTCAATAAATAAATAATTTTAAAATATCAACAATATTATTTATTTAAAAAATAATAAAACATTATAATTTATTATTAATAACTCAATGTATATAGTACTCGAAACAGAAAAAATATTTTACAATAGTAATTTAATGAAATATTTTAGCTTATTTATCCTTTCCATAAAAAAAAAAGAAAAGAAATATATTTAATAATAATAATAATAAAGATACGCATTTGACTTCAATAAGAAACTTCAGCTCGAATTAAAAACATACCTTAAATTTGGTCAAACGACGCCGTTTGCTGCGACTCGGCTGATCCATTTTATAAATTATACCCTCGTTTTGTTCCATTTCCTGTGGATTCTCGAGAAGAGAAGAGAAGGTTTAACAATGGAGGCTCCGTCTTCAGCCGTAGCTCCTTTGCTGCTGAGGAATCTGCTGATTACAGCGTTAATCTACGCCGAAAAACCCCTCGTTTACTTGTACCATAGGTCCAAATTTCTGGAATTGATTCGTCATTTCCTTATCTCTCTGCTGCTCTTCTTCCTGAACCTGTTGCCGTCTCTGTTCTCCTCTTTCACGGCTTCCCCGGAATTCCAGAGCTACAGTTTGAATCCGGCGAGCGACGATAATTCTTCCGGCGCCGCCGCAGCCGGCCGTGGAGAGGGCGGGAGCGGTGTTTCCCGGGCGCTATCTCAGCTATTGTTGTTGATGAACGAGATCCCAGTCAGTTCGCGGAAGTACGAATTGGTAAGGTCTTTGATCGAGAAGCTTCTCCACGAGAATTTGGCGGAGGATAGTCCGCCGTTGACGGCGGTTAATTGTGCCGTGCTCTCGGCGGCTTTCTCGAGGACGCTGAGCCAGCTCCAATTTGCAGTGGCTGAGCATTTCAGTAGCGGCGCAGAATCGGCGGCTCTGCTCCGGGAGAGTGGGCCGCGCCGATTGCTGAAGGGGGTTAGCAGTTTTTGGCGCGCAGCCGTGCCGGGGAGCGAGATGAGCCGGTTCGCGAACTCCGGCGATAAGCTGTCTATGGAGCTACTGTGGCTGGCTCAGAAGATGGCGGCTTCTGGCTGCGCTGAAGAGGCTGTTTTGGGGTGGGCTTCGGCTTCGAAATTGGCTCGGCTTGCTCTGTCCGCTGAGCCTCGGCTTCAAGGGTCCATAGTTAAGGTCTCAGGTATGTAATATTTAAGTATAATATTTATATTTTATTCTTTGTTCAAGAAATTTTGAATGGTTAGATTTTGAATTACTATATTTTATATTTTTTAATAGAAAATATTTAGTATAATACGTCAAATAAAAGTTAAAGCATTCATTTTCATATCGAAGAATCTTGAAAGAATATTGGAAAATCCATAAAATGAATAATTGATTACAAAAATTCATCTTCAAATTGAAGCATTGATTACATCTTCATTAGATAATTCAACTAATTGAATTTATACACAATTTACAGCATTCTTGATTGGGCAAGCAAAGGACATTGGCAAGGAGCCAGAAGATGGAGCTATAAGAGAGACCAATATGAAGATGCTTGTATCCTGGTTGCCGCTGCTGTGCCGTGCGCACAACGGCATCGATGCTCCGATTCTAAGCGTGGCGGAGAGGGCAGAGCTAGAGAAGACATTGGAAGAGATGATCTCATCTTTAGAGGAGGATGAACAGGAAGTGGTGCTCTCTCAGTGGCTTCATCATTTCACCTGCTCGCCTGCCTCCGACTGGCCGAACTTGCGCACTTGCTACACTCAGTGGTATAATGCTTCCCGCTCTCGGCTCTTAGCTGCTTCGACTCCAGCAAGCCGAAGGATCTTATGTTAAATTTTGCTTCAAAAAGCATATTCATGCACTTCTCCAAACACAATGCATGGCTCGAGGAGTTAAAGGTACCCTATAGTGTAGAAATTGGCTTGCCGTTGTCGTATGTTATTGATGTAAATAATACATGTCTTATATACAAAGTAGAAAATCAATACCTTATGAGACCAGTACTTATATATAATTATTTCACTGTTTTTTCTTTTAGTGTAATGCTTAGTTTTATATAAATTCGAAACTTACACTGCAATTGTGATGTTATGGGTACTTTCTGTTATGGAAAAGCTCTTGATTTGAGTATTCACTTGCCTATTGTAATAATATCACGATTTATGTGTACTTATATTTGGTATAACTCCAATCACCAAGCATTGGTAGCTAGATAGCTCTGTGAACGAGGAATTTAACCTTTATTGAAAATGTTTAGGAGAAGATGGTTAACAATTCTCATATCTTCATTATAGTGCATCATAATGGAACACGCTACGATCAAGGTGGGCTTGAAGGTTTATTGAACATAGATTTTCGTATGGAAGTGGAGGAGTGAATATGTTTTAATTGAAATAGCGAAGAAGTATGCTCTTTGCTTTCTTATTCTTAGCAGGTAATCAACCTTGGAGATGACAGCCTCTATGATTATAATGTGAAAGCCTTTGAGTGAATATCAAACTTGTGAGAAGATGACAGTTGAGGTTCCTACAGACAGAAGCAAAGTAAGTACTTAAAATATATCGAACATCAAAGAAATATATCAAGTAAGATGCGTCTAACTTCTAGTTTACTCTTCCTAGAATGTAAAGGTTTAGGCATTTGAAATGAACAAATTATTCTTTCTGATTCTCGATTAAAAATTCATGTTCATACTCTAAAAATTTACCCGGTTACTTGATTTTGGATTGTTCGTATGAAGTATTTAGTTTATTAGCAAGATGAAGCATAAGTGTGGTTATTTTAAAGGTTTCATGCCGCTGAATAGTTATATCTTGACATTGTATATAATTCTCATTTGCCTATCTTTTGTACTTGATTTGATTTTGCTAGAATTCCATAATATGTGCTTTATAGAAGCGTAAGAACAAGACGTGAATTAGGGCTTGCTTACCTGTGATAAGTGGGGATAATTATTTCTGAGACCTAATTCTTCTCGAGCTGCACTTATACGTCTGTACAATGCAAGGAGTAGATGTCCATAGGTTAGTCGTGGTTGTTGTTCCACAGCTTGTACAAAGCTGTGAGTCAGTGCTCCTGTTGCCTTCCCCGTAAAAGCCTGAATAAACATAATTATCTATGTTACTTTTGTATTTGGTAGTTCGGTAAGTTTACTCGCCTTTCTAATGTCTTATTATTGCTGAAGCTATGTTTTCTGGTGACTTATCAATTCAAGTCAAGCAGTTTCTTTAATACATAGGAATATGATTATACAAAAAGATTCGAAATGATAGTGTTGAGCTTGATATATGAGAAAAGAATTGTTGACAGTCCAAATATGACCACATTAGATGTGTATGTGTTTTCCAATCTTAAATTGCAGCTTTCATGGAGGAAGAAATAAGAATGTAACGACCTACCGTGGTATCTCCCGAGTTTTGATGATCATCGCAGGCACTGATGCAGATTGCATATCCTCCACTGGTACCTTTGAATGCAGAATGTGCAACCCTTTGATCCTCCCATTTGTAATATCCATCCCTGTTTGAATAGGAAAAACTACTTTACATGATGATTGAGGCGATTTTCATAGCTGCTTGAATCCGTAAGTAGAGAGATTGTGACCTGTTTATCCTGCAAACATTTGGGAGGTCGAGAAAGGTTCCGCTGAAACAAGTGTCTATGATGGAATGCAGTGTTGCTCCTCTCGGAAGTGGCCTAACTATGGTGGCATTAATTTCATCGTCCAGAATTCTGCCCTCGGTTTCATAGTCAACAGGCAATAAGGATTCATCGTAGCCATCGAGCTCATCTCCATCATGGTCTCTCACTTGTGATCCATGCCCAGAGTAGTGGAACACCAATGAGTCCCCAGGTTTGCAGCCTTGCACGAGCCAATTCAGGGCTGTTCGGATGTTCTTCTTTGTTGGAATATGGCGGTAGTCCTGTTCCTCTGTGATGCATTGCAAAATTCAAGAATGAGATGGCAATTTCTCTTTATCAGTTGTGATAATTATAATTTTCTTGTTTGGTGCAGGCAGTACCTGTTAGCACCACAATGGAGGCGCTTGGAAACCCGAACTTCTCCATTAACAGCTTTTTCATGGACAACACATCATTGATACTTCCATCGAGGCTCTGGCGGTGGCCTTTGTAGGTAATTCCGCATAGAACAGCTCGTTTAGGCCCAGATGCTGTGGTTCTATTAGTATATGACCATGATGGTACTTGATAAACTCTAGCAGCATTGTTTGGCTGGTAAACCCAACCGTTTGCTGTGTAACCTGTTGCATAATTGTTGCTGCTAACTCCATATGGAAGATAGCCATGATAATCGTTTCTTCTGCCTCCATGTTGATAGTAGCCTTCAAAATCACTCGGGGATGATGTGTAACGGTGGCAAGCAGGGCAATACAGGCTCGGCCCCGGAAATGAAACCCCACACCAGTTGCAGGTTCGTCTCCTAGCTTCCATTTTTCATCTAATTCGTTTGATTTGAGTGCCGACATAAGAATTTATATTAACACAATCTTAGTCTTTTGCGCAAGAATATGTATCTGTCACAGTTTCGAAACTGTGTTGTTATTCCATGGAAAGAGTGGTGCTGGAGAATTGGATTCTGTTTACTCTCATTTTTTTTCATATGTTGGTTGAATTAATAATCTTCTCGGTGAAAGAACAATACTTTGTAGTATGGAGTCACTAAGTGTTGATAAGGACGATACTTTGTAGTGAATTAGGGAAGTCTAATATTTGACCAAGATAGATGAATTTAGCTACCATTTGATCAAATGTTGGGAAGTTGCAGGTCAAGATTGGCGATTTATTGATAAGGATCGTGTGCTCTTTATTACGAAAGTGAGATTCTGCAAGTCCTTTGTAGAAGTGATTGAGTGCCATTGTTGTTAGATGCCAATTTGCTGGCAAGTGGTTGGAGGTATATGTACCCCTTGCCAATGGCGTGAATGTCCAGCAATTCTTTCTGAAAAACATTCGATGCCGTACTGATTAAACTACATATCCTTTTTCAGGAGAAGAATCTGACTCATCAGATGCCCCTTCGGGAATTAAATCGAATGATATGCTTAACTCAGGTGCTATCATTTACATATGCATTAGGTGAGTGAAACTACAGGTTCAACATTTCCTTACAAAAATCACGACTCTTTTGTTTCTATGATCCCAGCTTTGCCTTATTGTTTTAGTCTAGCGTAAAGATTGTACGCCTGCTTTGCTTTCGCGTTGTAGTTATTTCTTGAATTCGATTGGGGGAATAATAAATCTTTTATCTCTTTGAGCTCTGCTTATAATTGCTGCCATGGGGGTGTTATGCGAGTATGTTGTACTTAGTCGAACCGTTTATTCATGTTTGTTGCGAGTTTCAGTAGAGATGACGACAAAATTTAATTATTGAAATCTCTATCGATAACAAAGATGAGATTGTAGCAAAGTTTAAGGATGATGCTCCATCCTACATTCCCTAGCATTGATGTGCTTATGGTAGAGAACTGAAACTTAAATTTGTCTGAAGTATTCTGATGCTCTTTTGTATGGCTTCAGTTGAAATTTCATTCTGCATAACTATAGCTCGAACTTTGTGGCAGCGATGTCGAACTTTTCTGAAGATGACAGTAATGGATCCTGAACATTTGTCCATAAATAAAGTTGTTAAATTTTCTCCATAAAGCAATAGATTCTAAAAGTCTGTATTGCTCATTGTTTCGACTAAGTACCTGTAAGATCCTTCGATGGAAGATCCTGCGTATTCCTGGAATGAAACATCCTGATTCGTGTGCTTGCTCGAGGGTGTCGTGCATGGAATGCAGTATGCCATGGTAAGTTATTCCTTCCTGTTTGTTGGCTGCCTCTTTGATCGCCTTTATAAATGCACATGTCATCGCGCCGTTCATTTCTTTCTCGACTGAAAAAGCCTGCGACAGAAGCAAGAGCTTTCGATAAGTTCTCTTTGAACTACGAAAGTATAATCCAGTTAGATCGATATGATGAGTATTTCCATTTTCTGATTGATGTTGTAGGTGATCCAGAACATCGCTCCGAAGAAAATTCAGAGGGAAAAAAAATAAAAAATCACGGACTGTTGTATCTGCCGCCAATTGGTAATCCTCGCACGCACTGATGCAGATCGCCGTTCCCCCGGCCGTACCTTTATAGTCGCCGGAAGGAGGTCTGTTATCTTCCCATTTTTCCCTGATGAAAATTCACATCATATTTATGATGGAAGAGGGATTTGAATATGCAGTTGAAATAGAAGGAGAGATTCGATCGGACGACTGGAGATACATTACGTACTTAACCATGTTGTACACGAGGGGCAAGTCGAGAACAGTTCCGCTATGGCAGCAATCAATGATAGCATGAAGCTTGACATCTTTGATCAATGGTCGAACAAGGACTTTGTTGATGTAATTATCCACGATGTTTCCATTAGTTTGAAAATCGAGAGGGCAGATGGTTTCATCGAATCCATCAACCTCGTCCCGGACAAAGTCGCGCTGTCTCAAGCCATGCCCGGAGAAGTAGAATACAAGCAAGTCCTTTGGCTGAACTCCCTTCATCAGCCACCGAAAGCCTTCTTCGATATTTGCCTTGGTCGGAGGCAAGTTAAAATCATCCTCTGCAAAAACAGAATCGAGCGTTATCTAAGAAAAACATCAGCAGCTATATATATATATAAACCTGCAAGAACGAGGATGGATTCGGGTGGGAATCCGAGGTTTGTGAGGAGTAAATCTTGAATGTTTTTGACATCTTGTGCAGTTCCTTTGAGCTCGTACTTTTGCTTCTTGTAGGTGACTGCGCAAAGAAATGCACGTTTATTCCCACGCGGCGAGGGATCAGAGGGAGTGATTCGTGGTGATGAGGTTTGAGTTTGGATTTGATCTGTTCGACCTTTGCTGCTTGAAAATCTTCTCAAGAGTAACTTGGCCTCGGTCTTCTTCTTTTCTATCTCCAGGCTCAAGCTTCTCTTGGAAGTTGACATTGCTCAGGCGAAATTCGACGGATCATACCGAGCAAAAAGAGGTGTGTATATGTATATATATATATATATATATGATGGAAGTTCATACTTCATACCTAAAAGGGTATAGTTCTTATTATTATGTGATTTGAGAGTGCGGTGCCATATTATTATAGTGTTATTGTGAGATAAGTCAGCATGGCAATTCTTTAAACTGCCATCGATGATGTTTTGGAACAAGAATTAGAACCGAACCAGATGCTGCTTTCTTTTCTTTTCTTATTTCTTTGAACGTATGTATGTGTCCATCTTTGGTATCATTAAGTGGTATGAGGCGATTCTTGTTTTCACTTTTTGGGTCGTCAAAATTTGTAGATGTAAAATAAATCAAAATAAAAATAATTTTCATGGGGTGAGAGAGGCTCGAACTCTCGACCTCAGGATCACTCAGAAGCTATGAGACCTACGCGCTAGCCAACTGCGCCACCACCCCCTTTCTATATCGTTTCTAAATTTATTAATATATATATAATAAATTTTACTAGAATAATATTGTTGGAATTATTAATTTGTTCTATTAAAAGGACTCAGATGAAGATTTTTTTAATTTATTTTTTTTTAAGGGTTTTCCTGGCCCAATCAATAGTGCGAAAGGTGCACACAAGATGCCTTAATAGGCCTTTCCCTTCAAACAAAAATAATTAATTTAAAATTATGTCAGCCGATAATTACATATCAGATCAAAAAAAAATAAATAAATTATATTAGATACACAATCTCAATAAAAATATATTATTTCTAAATAAAATTAAAATTTCATTCTAAATAAATTTCAAACTATAGTCAAACAAACATAGGCTGACATGAAAATATAATCCCATAAACTATCCATTGTTTGGACAAGGTTTTGTGATTTTTGACCATTCTTGATTGTTTTATCATATATTATTTATTTGAGTTCAAATCATTGACATTGAATAGTAGATGAAGAATTACAAGAGAAAAAAGAAAAAAGAAAAAAGTTAGTTTAAATGGGTCGTTGGATTGCAAAGAGCACGTGATTGCGTGCGTGCAGTCATCCTATTCTTTGTCTTCTCTTTCATATTTTCTAAAGGTTAGAAAATCGTCACAATTTTTTTATTTTTTTATTTTTTATTTTGGATAACGTGGAAATCCGTAGTCGCTGCCCGAAATTACGCATTGGGTAAATCTCCGGTAAAACCTAATATCTTGCAAATCAAGCCCTGTGGCAGGTGGACCTGAGGCCATCCTTTACGGGACGAAAATCGTCACAATTAAGTATTAAAAAATGGATTTTGAAATAAAAATGAGTCTCTCTCCATTATCCATTTTATAATTTTGGGCAATTTACAATTAACCTCTACATAAATAATAAATTTTTGTATATCTCACTTAAAATCACCAACACACTACTCTTTTATTTATAATTTATCAACTGTATTCTAATAATAAATTTAATCAAAACAATTTTACATATAAAGTTTACATATTCTTTAATTTATGTAACAAAATTTTTTTTAAAAATATACATGTGTTAAAAAATAGAGCTTCTAGTACTATTCATTGGGATCATTTCTTTTCTTAAAAAAAAATAAAAAATATATATATTATAAAATATCACCTCAAATATAATATTTTTAACTCTAATTATTATTTTAAAATCTAAACGATTGTTGTTTGGTAAATGGAAGTATACAACACGCAAGAATGTCAATAGGCTATATTGCTGGTTTAGTGCTACTTAATTGAACATTTACTTTTGAGAGTATGCATGACTTTCTTATTATTATTATTTTATTTATTAGGTACCTACGAGTTGGCTATACACCTAACAGGCATCGCAACACCACATCCACATGTGTAATTGTGACAAATAAGGTTGGTCCAACAGTGCTTTCATCAATCAATTTATCTTTTATTATTATTTATTTTAAATGTTTTGTTGGAGTTACATGTAATCTTATATTTTTATTTCTCTCTTAAATACACAGATATACTTTTATATATATATATGTATGTATGTAAGTAATGTAAGCTATGTTTATACTCGTCGTGTGTATATATATATATATATAGATGTACGGGCTACCTGCTAAATATATAATTAAATATTCACTTGACTATATAATACTTGTATTTATTTATTTCACCTAACAAACTTATTGATCATCCATCTAAGTGCATGCACGTTCATTTTGACAGTTTTCTACCTGTTACTGTCATTATTATTATTATTATTATTATTAGTACGATAAAATGATATTTTCAGTTCCGTAATTGAACTTTTTTATCATTTTACTCTCGTAATTTAATCTTGATGCACATTAGTCTTGTAAATAAAAAATTTTTGCACTTATAGTCATCCGGCGTAAAAGATGCCTATGTGGCACTTACGTGGCTTGCCGGAAGACACTTGTCCACCAAATCAGCTACAACGGCCGAACATATGAACTTTTTTTATATAAATTTTAATTTATTTATTGTCTTCCCTAAAAAAATTAAAAAATTTTTAAAAAAAAATGTTAACCATTCAAAAAAATTAATAATATAATCCAAAAAAATATATATTTTTTATACTATAGTACATTGTTCTACAAAGTCAAATTAAAATCCCTACTAATTTCTACTCTACACTTTAATTCTTATATTTCAGTCCTCAACTTTTCAAAAGCTATCGGTTCAGAAAACATCCCATAATTTCAGAAAATAATACTCTCTCCGTTTCATAACAAAGTATTCATTTTTCCATTTTAGTCCGTTCCATAACAAAGTATCTGTTTCCTTAACTGTATTATCTACCTAACATTACAAATACCCTTACAACTTACAATATATTACACAAATGTCATTACCTTTGTATCACACATACTAACAAGGTTATTTTAATCATTTCAACTTTATTCATACTATATCCCAATATAATACTAATATACCTAAAACTACGCGTAAAAAGTAATTAAGTACTTATTAATGGGACGGAGGGAGTAACACTTATTTTAGCAAATAAAAAAATGTGATTAATTGCCTTCACATTAAATAAGAAAAAAGTGATTAAAAAAAAACAAATAAAATAAAACTGTAATTTTTTTATAAATTAATTTTTATTTTAATTATATACTTTGAATTCAACGTCATTTTCAATTATTACTCACAATTTTTTTTAATATTTACATATCATCTAATTGAAACTACTTCCTCTCCGTCGTTCAAATCTATACTCACTTTCCTTTTTTTGGTTGTCATTGAAAAATATTTTTGTTTTCTTTTTAAGTAAAAAATTATTACATTTTTGTATTTTTTACTATAAAAGAAAAAAGTAACAATTATTATTCAATTTTATTAAAAATCGTGCTCAGTCAAATGAATACACATTTGCATAACGGAGGAAGTATTAGATTAATAAAATTTATTTTAATAAAATCCTTATTTATCATAACATAATCATTACAAAAATTCAAACTCTCGTACTCACATAACTTAAAAATTCTCATTTCAAAATTTTCAAAAATTCTAATCTAAAATTCTAATCCCCAAACGAAAACACCCTAATAAATATCCCAACTTATTTATCTTTAAAATTATTTCATTTTCACTATATACATTTTTCTTTAAAAAAAAAAAGAAAAAAAAAGAAAAACCTAATAAATATCCCAACTTTTTTGTTTCCATGAAAGCTACCTTATAGTAATTCTATTATTATTATTATTATTATTATTATTGCGTCGGGTCATCTTCGTTACTTTAGCAATTGGGTCCACTTGCGCATACTTTTATTATATGTTTATTTATTTATTTATTTATTAATTATTATTCCAACAACCCAAACAGCTAAACCTACGTCTTTCAAGTTGACCTTTCGGATTTATATGATTCTGACGAGTCCTTGGACCGGAGATCCCACAATTGTCAATGAGCCAAGTAATATAGATATATACTGTTCAAAATTGTAACAGTAGGTAGCACCACAAGTGTAAGAAAAATAAATAAGTAATACTCCCATCCATTAAATTTATATTTATTTTTGTTGTTTGTCTATAAAATATATATATATATATTTATTTATTTATATATAGTATAAATAATTATATACTTTTTTTTATTTAATATAGAATGTATTGTCAATTCTCTTTTATATTTATGTTGTATTAATGTATCTTATATACTAAAATTAATTATAATGTATTATATTTTTTTATATCAATTAAAATTATTTTTTAATATTTTCGTCCGTTTCGATAAAAATATTAATTTGTTATTATAGTAAAAATAAATTATATGTTAATATTATTGTTTTTTCAATTTTTATATAAATTTAAAAGACTATTATATATAAAATTAATTCATATATAAAAAAACAAAAATATCAAAATCAAGTTATATTTCTTAATTTATTACTCCCCGTGGTTCAAACCTACGCTCATTTTCCTTTTAGGTTATCATTGAAAATATTCTTATTTTCTTTTTAATTAAAAAATCATTCTATTTTTGTACTGTTTTTACTATAAAAAAATAAAAAATAATTATTGCTCACTTTTATTAAAACTCGTGTCTGATTAAATGAATATACATTTGCATAATTTCAAATAACTATTTTGAATCAAAACAGAAGAAATATATATAAGATGAAGTGAATTCATTATATTTTATTAAATTAATACTATGTATCTTATACTATCTATTTATATATATCATATTTATATATTATCTCTGTCCCAAATACCATGCAATATTTTATTTTTGGTATCTCCTAATATCTTGCATCATTTTTAAAATAAGAAATAATTAATCATATTTAATATTTACCACACACTTTATTTCATCGTATCACCAAAATAAAAATATATATATACATTTTTCACTCAATCACATCATCTAATTTTTAAATTATCCTACTTTAATGTTGCAACTTATTTGAAACTTACGAGTACTATTTATAATCTATATTTTATGTGAATTTGAGGTAACTTGTAACAATAACCAATATAATAGTAACACTACGCTATCGTCTCACATTAATGCAACAGTTACAGATAAACAACAGCCGATTGCGTCATTAATATATCATTAATTATCGAAAACGGACAAACAAACAGAAAAACAAACCGCAATTAATATTCAATTCCGGCCCCGCAGCAGCACTTGATCGATCAAATGCTCCAAATTCCGGCGCGACGCGCCACCGCTCTTCGCGGCGGCCCGCGCCTTCTCCTTCCACTCACGCGCCCTCTTCCTCATATCCTTCCCCTTCTCCCCCTCCATCAGAACCCCCACCAGACGCGCCACCTCCTCCCTCTTCACCTCCCCCTCAATCTCCACCCCCATCCCCCACGCGCCGCACACGTACCGGCAATTCGTCTGCTGCTCCGCAAAGAACGGCCACGATATCATCGGCACCCCCTCCGCCACCCCCTCCACCGTCGAATTCCACCCTGAATGCGTCAAAAACCCGCCCACAGCCGGGTGGGCCAGGACCCGCTCCTGCGGGCACCACCCGACCATCATGGCCCGACCCGCCACCGCCGCCGCGAACTCCTCCGGCAGCACCGCCGACTCCCCGACCACCAGGTCCGGCCTGATCACCCACAAAAAGTACTGATTGCTGTTCGCCAGCCCCCACGCGAACTCCAGGACCTGCTCCCGCGACAGCACCGTGATGCTTCCGAAATTTACGTACAGAACCGAATCCGGCGCCCGCTGGCTCAGCCATTGGAGGCAGGCGTCGTCCTCTTTCCAGAGGCTGGACCCGAGGGCCCGGACCTCGGGATCTTTGACCTCCTCGTGCTCCAGCAGCTGCAGGGGCCCGATTGTGCAGACGTGGCCGAACTTTTCCCTGAGAGCTCCCAGGACCTCCTCCTCCAGTTCGTCGAACGTATTAATTATTACAGCCTTCGCCCTCGACGCATCCCTCGTCTGTATAATGTTATAGTTGACCATAATGTCGTCGGGGTCCGTTGACCGAATAAAGCTCGGAAAATCCCTCAGCCTAATGTTCTTCATACCCGGAACCCACTCCAGCTCCGTTTCAAGAAACCCGTTCGTAATCTGACTCTCATCTGTCAACCCGACCCGACCCGAATGAAAATCACTTCGATTTTAAAAATATAAAAATATTCGAATTCGAACCAAATAACCCATACCTTTGAGGGGAAATATGCCACGTGTCACGAGCTCAGCGTAATTGCAATAACCCATGAATCCACAGGCGCTGGTGGTGAAGAACACAACCTCGGGGATTCCAAGCTGGTCAGCGGCGTCGAGAGTGAAGCTCATGGCGCCGTCGGAAACGATGCAGGTGACCGGGGGGCAGTCCGGGGAGTCGTTGAGGTCCCGGAGCAGGTGGAGAAAAGGAGGGAATCCATTCCGGCGGAGGGAATCGCAGAGCTGAGGAATATCCTGGGTGGCGTCCTTGTCGGAAGGAGGCAGGCCGTCGGGGATGGTCCTGAACTGGAAGTCCGGGAGTCCCTGCACGGATTGGGGTCCCCGGGCCCGGACCAGGCGGGTGTGGTTGAACTCAGTGTTGACGAAGGTGATGAAGAAGCCCCTGGAGTGCAGAATCTTGGCCAATTTTAGGACAGGGGCGATGTGGCCCTGCGCCGGGTATGGAATCACGACGGCGTGAGGACGAGGAGGATGCTTCATAATAATAATATTATTATTATTTAATAGTAATAATAATTTAATTTAATTTAATGTAGTTTCGTTATAAAACCTTTGGATGAGATTGAGATAACTCTGAACTAAGACTTTCTTATATAGATCTCCAAAACCAACAGTATTTTTTTTTAATTTATTTTTGGCATAGAACCAACTGGGGTATTGTCAAGGCCTAAAAGACAATTTTATTATTTATTATTACTACTCCTCTGATAAAATTAGTATTTACTCCCTCCGTCCTATATTCACACCGTGTCTACTACACTGTAGACACTGTATTTTAGAAAATGTATAATTAATAAATAATAAAAAATATATTAATGAAAATAATTATTCTATAATATAAATAATTATAAATTAAAATTGACATAACTAATTAATTTAATTAAAATAAAAAAAATAAATTAAAAAGTTTAAAATAAAATTAAAATGTATAATCATTTTCCAAAAAAAAAATGACATGATATGAGAGACGGACAGAAATGACAACATGGACATAGTACGTGGGACGGAGGAAGTATTATTGTAATTTTGGCCAAAATTACTGCATGGTCACTGTTGGCCTGGTCTTTTCCTGCCCTGACAAGCTCTTAGCAATTTATTTATTTAAATTATAAATGTAAATATAATTTTTTATAATATAAATAATTTAATAAAATATATAAAAAAATATATATTATTTTTTTAGAAAATAAAATATTTTATAATACAGATAAATACAAATTTATAAATATATATGTATATATAATATAAATTTATAATTAAATTATACAAATTAATACTCATTTATATTATTATATTTATTACTCATTCAATTAATCATATCAAAACTCCTCAAACCTCCAATCAAATCTAAATATAAAAAAAATATCAAAATTTAAACTCAACTCAAAATTCAAATAAAAATTAAACTCAAACCCAAATTTTCCAAAGACCCCCTAAAGAAACTCACCCTTGGTCTCACACAAAATTAAGAAAAATAAATATTTTATTAAAACAATCATAAAAATAAAAAATAGTTGCAAATAATTTTAGAAATTTAGTTAAAAATTAGATTTATAAAAATATAATAAAATTAGTGATATTTATTATAATTAAATATTAGATAAAATATAATAATTAAATATTGATTAATAAATTGATAAATTTAGCATGTGTTTGTTTGGGGATTGGATCTTGAGCTGGGATTTGAACAGTACAAATTTTGAATGTGAATAGTTGTATGATGTGATATAAATAGGTGTTGATGTGATGTTTTTAATGTAAAATTGATTTTTAGTATAATATAAAAAATAAAAAATAGGTGTTTGATTTGATGTTTTTGGAAGGAAAAAATTGGATGAATAGTGTAAATCCAATCAAAAATCTGGGAACACACCCTTAAGAGACGTATTAAAAAGAAAAATAAAAATAAAATTGGGAATGAAGAGAATAGTATTATTTTTTGTTCTTCATAAAAAAATAGATTTGTTTATTTTTATAAAAAAATATTTCATTTTTAGTTTCGTAAATGATGACCGAGTGGTGTTGAGAGTGAACCTATGACCGGGTTCAAACCTAGACGCCTCCAAATTCACCTATCGGAAGTTTACCCAGTGCGAAGCTTCGAATAACGGCTACGGTTTTCGCGTCGTAAAAAAATATTTTTTCTAGTATTATTATTATTTTTATTATAAATAGACAAAATAACAAAATATATATATATATATACACCACATTAAAATATATTTTGAACGTTTCTTTCAATGACAACATAGGAAGTGCTTAAATTAGTAATTTTATTTAAGATAATACTCTTATTTTACTGGATATGAAGGCTGCTGCTTTTTACTGTAATTAATTATATATATATATATATATATATATTGAGTTGAATTTATGTACTTTAACTACTTGGTAGATGCGAGTGTCTGAATTGATAAAGTCAGCAGAGGCTGCTGGTGCTCAATGATAGTAATAAATAAATAAATAAATAAGCACTAGTTTTTAATTAATTATATGATACAATCCCAAACTTCTTATAATTAGTTAATTGGCAATAAATAGATAAAAAAAATAAAATTATATATATATAATTTATGTTTATGTTGGATGTTATTAAGCAGGCACAAATAGGATTTGTATTAAATTCAATATCACCATTATCACCACACTAATTCGTAGGTACTGAGTCTTACGATGATTCTGATCAATGTTGTGACATTAAGAGATCTTGTGGTCTGTTTAGCCTCCGATTTTTCACTATTGAATCTCTATGCTTTTTTCAAGTATATATATTACCAAATATTACATCATATATTATTTTAATATTAAATTTAAATAATTTTGTTTTTTTAATCACCAAAAAAATACACACACAAAGCTGAACAATTCATAATTCACAAATTTTGTGACACGTGTTTGAATTGTATAACAAAACTACAAATTTTTTAAAAAAATTTATAATTTTTTTTGATAACTAGAAGAATAAACTCATAATTATTTCATTAGATTAAAAAAATATTTCCTCTATTTCAATTTAATGTATATATATTTTACTATTTTGATTTGTTCCGCTCTAAAATATTAATTTTCTATTACAATAAAATATTCAATATACAAACACTAAAATATCTTTAATTTATATATATTTTTTGTATTTATAGAGATAAAAATATGAAATTATATTACATATAAGTACATAAATGGAGAATTGTTTTGAATAAATTATGCATTTACCATATAAATTAGTAAATGTGGATAGGAAGATATTGTCACTATGTCAGGCAATAATAATAGTAGTTCATTATTATTATTATTATTATTAAATATTTTTGTCGTGTAGTGCATTAATAAACAAGAAAATAAAAAAAAAAAAAAATTGGATGAGCGTGACAAGAAAATAGCCCTATCTCATTTTGAGTTTCTTTATCTTAAATGGGCTCAAACTTTTAAAGCCTATTTTTGGCCCACAAAAAACTGAAGAAGGAAGTTTAATTTCAAATTGGCTGACACCTTATCAATTAATATAAAAATTTCTTGAATTTGTGTCATAGCTATAATATCAAATATTATTTTTATTTTTATTGTCATCTCATTTCTTTCATTTTGTCTTGCTTCATAGAATTTTCACTTTCATTTATATTAATTCTTCCGTCTCAAATCAAAAATTTTCAATCTTTCATTTTTATTAATTCCTCAGTCACAAAGTATCATTTTTATTATTATTCTCTATTTTACTCAAAATTATTTACTTTCTATTCTATAAAAAGTAATCTTATAAAATTATTTTTAATTTTTATTTAAATTACATATATATCATTACATATACAATGATTTTATACATAAAGTCAAATGACAAAAATATCAAAATTTCTTAAATATTCAATACACAAGTAAATGAAATCCTTTGTTAAGACGAAAATCCGGGATTCCAACTTAAAACCAATTGGTTGTAAGTGGAGTAGCCATTCACCCTTTATAAGGTAGGAGAATCCCAACATTACATCTAATATGGAATACTTAACATCCTTAAAGCCAGACGAAGATAGTTTAAGATAATTACCTATTTATAAAAATATATGTGTGTATGCATGCATAATTAAGTTAATTAGTATAGGTTGAAATTAAAAGCAAAAGGTTAAAAAAGAAAAGGGAAAGGAATGGAATGGAAGCTCACGTGTCACAATAATTGTCATAGATATACATACATGCATACGGACAGAGTACGGACGAGACATGGGCATGCAAAATCAATAATAATAATAATAATAATAATAAGTCGGATGGTACGGTGATATGAATAGTGAACTTGTGACCTTGAGCTAATAGGTTTAAACTCCGATGCCTTCAAGTCTATCTGCTTAGTATGACTTAGTTTTTCGGGTATTAGTTAGGTTCTATCTGAAGTTTACTTGGTGCTCATTTTCGACTAGCGGCGGCGGATTCCGACGTAAAATAATAATAATAATAATAATTTGGTGGGCCTGGACTGGATATGGCTGTTTTTTCTTTAATTTGTCGTGGTCTGTTTGTTCCTTTGTTTCTTGTGAAGAGGATATGTGAAACGACGTCGTAAAGTGGAAATGCAGTTTTTTGCAGTAGCAGTGCTGCCAATGCCATACCTACTGCACTGCTGTTCATTATCTTCTTCTTTCTTTTTTTTTTTTTTTTTTTCTAATAATAATAATAATAATAATTTCATCAATTCTTGTCCTGTAAATTACTAGTACAGTTACAGTAGTATGATTGATATTTTGTACAGGAGTGCACGCATGCATGCATTCATGCAGATATGCAACAACTACTACTACTGCTGCCACTATTTGTTTCCATCTTTTCTTTCTTGCATGTACTCATACTCATACTCATATCCTTTCTAATCTGTTCTTACTGCATACTACTGGTGTGTTTGTCTGAGGGCTTGGATTTTGGGTTGGGGTTTGAATAGTAAAAATTTTGAATTTGAATAGTTGTACGATATGATATAAATAAGAATTGATGTGATGTTTTGAATGTAAAATTGATTTTTAGTATAATATAAAAAATGAAAAATAAATATTTGATTTGATATTTTTGGAGGGAAAATTTTGTGGGAATAGTAGAAATCCCACAAAATCCCGCAAACAAACACACCCTACATTTATCACACACAAATATTGACACCATTCAATTAATTCAACACATTAATTATTGATTAATAAATTAGTACAACCACAACCCCCTCATAATTCAATAATTAAATAAAAGTAGCATAATTAAGAATCACACCCCACTACTAATTCTTTATTAACTTGCATGCATTCCCACCCACTACAAAAACACATCAACAACAGCACTAACAATGCAATAATATTCTTTGCATTCTTTAATTAATTAATTAATATAATTGATAATACATGAATCATTTGATATTCACCAATAAAAAAATTAACCAGTTTATATTGACGGAGACAATGTGCATGTGTATGTAGCCTAGGGTGGTACGGTAATAATAACAATAATGATGATAATAATAATAATGTGTATATATATATATATATAGTAGTAGTAATAGTAATATTATATTTTTTCCAACAAATATTTATTTATTCATTTAGTTTTTGCACGAAATTTTAAAATATTAATATTATATTATGATGAAGTTGAAATAAAGATAAAAAATTTTAAATTTTTGTATTATATAAAAGTAATGATATTTGTATAATATATTGTAAATTGTAAGAGTATTTGTAATGTTATGTACATAGAACAATGACTAACAAAAAAAATTGGATACTTTTTTTACTGAGACAATTAAAATGAAAAAATAGATTATTAGAGGACAGAATAAATATTTGGTGTGCACAATAATTTTTGAATTGAGGTATGGCCGACTTGTGCCATCCAATCCAATCGATCACAACAAATGGAAAAGAAATTTGTGACAAGAAACCAACCAACTACCAAGTACATGTCTTCTTAGACTGATGCTTTTGAAAGCTTTTGAAATTTTAAAAATTTGAAAAAAAAAAATTAAAAAGTTATATTTAATATTATATTTTTTATTAAAAATAAATATATTTAATATAATATTTTCAAAAATAAATAATATCGTATTAATGAAAAATAATTGTGTAAACAAAGGATACAATATAGGGTCAGGATCAGGATCAGAATGCGCCCAAATGACAATTTTCTTGGATGGATATAAATGTATATAGCAGACCCCACTCTTTTTTTTTTTTTTTTTTTGGCTTTCGATCGGGTACACCAAAATATAGATACAGATAATTGACAGACACACACTGACACATACTGAATGAATGAATCAAGACACTCGACACGCAAAACAAAACAATTGTAGTTCAATTCTCCCAAGAAACCAAAGCATAATTATGATTAAATTAATTAGACGATGAGGATAATGATGTCACCATCCAGAAATCCCACCACTTCCAATTCTCCATCGGATGGATAATAATAATAATAACTCTATTATTTTACCCGTGACTTACCACCTCATATATATATATATATATATCAACAATTACTCCAACAAAATTCATATATGGAACACCTGAAAAATATCCAATAACACTACTTCTCCTACACAGTCCATCACTATAATCCTCAGGATCAACAACCAACCACCCACCCTAAAAATGGCTCAGACAGGCTAGGCTATTATTCATTCGTAGTATTCATATATATGTGAAAAATATTAATGCTGGTGAATTGGTGATGATGGATTATGGGAAAGAAAAGCTGTGTTGTGTTCACTTCACATTGACACGTGGCATTATGGGCTGCAGGTAGGGGCTCCTTCGTCCCCATTCAAATCCCTACCAACCTACCCTACCCTAGCACACACCCATCCTATGATGTAATTTTTCCAATAAGATTCAATTCACTAAAATGGAGTACTAAAAGATTGGACCTTTATTATTGCTTCATTCATTCACTGCACTGACTTCCACGTCGGCTGCAATAATTCCACGTCATCCAGCAAGCTCCAGCTGGCGGTACTACCCCTTCTCCACTTACATTCCGCCACGTGTCCCCCTCGAACTCGACGCTTCCCTGCCTGCCTACAGCTGTGTTACTGACTTTCGTATATAAATTACCCCCACGCTAGGGATTTGGCACTCCAAGCTTTGCAAATCCATCTCGATGGCCTCAGCTATGGTCCTGCTTCTGCTTCTGCAACTTTTCTCCTCCTTTTTCTTCTTTACATCGCCTTCCATGGCGGCGTTGGTGCAGCAGCAACCGCTGCGGCTCAAGTACCATAACGGAGCTCTGCTCAACGGTACCGTCACCGTTAACCTCATCTGGTACGGAAAGTTCACGCCTACGCAGAGATCGATCGTCGTCGATTTTCTACAGTCTCTCAACTCTCCCAAAATCGCTGCTCCATCCGTCGCTTCGTGGTGGAAGACCACCGGAAAGTACCACGGCGGCGCCGGCGCGCCTACAGTCGTCGTCGGAAAGCAGTTCCTCGACGAGAACTACTCCCATGGGAAGTCCCTGAAGAATGCTAATATTATATACTTGGCCGCCAAGGGCGGCCACGCTAACGGAGCCGTTAACCTCGTGCTGACGGCGAAGGACGTCGCCGTCGACGGTTTCTGTAGGAGCCGCTGCGGCTCCCACGGCTCGACTCGGGGAGCGGCTCGGTTCGCTTACGCGTGGGTCGGGAACTCGGAGACTCAGTGCCCGGGCTACTGCGCCTGGCCCTTCCACCAGCCAGTCTACGGCCCTCAGACGCCGCCGCTCGTGGCGCCGAACGGCGACGTCGGCGTCGACGGGATGGTTATCAGCTTGGCCACGGTTCTGGCCGGGACGGTGACGAATCCGTACAACAACGGATATTTCCAGGGTCCGGCGGCGGCGCCGCTGGAAGCCGTCACGGCTTGCCCGGGGGTTTTCGGCTCCGGCGCATACCCGGGATACGCCGGGAGCGTACTGACGGATAAGAGCAGCGGCGGCAGCTATAATGCGCGCGCCGTTAATGGCCGGAAGTACCTTCTTCCGGCGATGTGGGACCCGCAGACGGCGCAGTGCTCTACGCTCGTCTGAAGGGAGGGGATTCGGTGCGGTGAGGTGCACCGTACCTGAATGCCTGGTTGTATGTATATTTTCCTCTATTGTATAAAAGAAACGTTACATAAAAATAATAATGGTTTTTTTTTAGTTTTCAATCAATGATTAAATAGGCCCATCTCTCGTCTAGTTGCTATATACGATACATGGCTCCTGGTTCAGATGTTGATGGCTAACAAATGCAAAATCCGTGTGCGATAAAAGGACACAAATCTTTAATGGGAAAGGATAAGTATGATATCTTCGTTCTAAACATGTACTACTATATGATAATAAAAGCCTTTAGAAACGAAGCCAAGGCGATTAAGACAAGTGTTGGAAAGTCAACTGGATAGAAACATGCAATTACTAAAGAGAGTAATAAACTAATAGCAGCTATGAGGACAGATGGAGTCTTGAGTCTGGTTCAAGAAAGGGGTTTAGTACTACAAGAACAGCTGTAAAGGGTACTCCTCTAGCATTGATGGTGGGTTAAGAATTAAGATTAGATAAGAAGGATTTCATCGAGTTCACAAACAGCTGAACAAATTAAATAAATAATTCTCCTTCGGAACAGTAACAGAGAAAATTCAATAAACATTAAATATGCAAGACATTAGGCAGATCTCGGAGTTAAAAAGAACTGATCATTTCCAGGCAAGATCATGCAGATAGAGAATTCAAAACTTGAAAGTTTACCATTTGGAGCAGAGGAGAAGGCTCAGAAATAAGGATTGTATCGCATCGGCGCCCGGAACCTCGGTACCTTCCTACATGGATAAGAAGAGAATTCGACGAATCACAAGGAAACCTGTCGGGAGATGTTTAAAAAATGCAGACAAGCAGCGTACCCGTATCCGTAAGGGTTAAACATGTAAGGAGCACCCATGAAAAGGCCTCTGGATCGGTAGGGATTAGCACGGCGAGGGTGAAGTTGCTTCATGCCCGGAATGTTAGTCCTCTTAGCTGATACCTAATGAATGTCGATTATACTTTAAGAAAACAAAGAAAGAGTAAACGAACTAATGTTCTTCGACTCTGCATAGAACGAAGGGGTGGAGCCAACCTTCAGTTGTCGACCATGAAGTTCGGATTCATTCAAAAGGAGGGCTGGTTCGACAGCTTCTGCTTCAAGAAACTCGACGTATGCATACCCCTTCGGCTGTCCATACTTGTTCGTTCGAATTGTGACTCTATTCACGGTTCCACATGTCTGGAAATGCTGCTGCACTTCCTCTGGGGTACATGAGTAATCCACCTTGTCCACCAAAGAACATTATCGGGCAAATCAAGCAGCAAATTTCATCGAAAAGTGGTATCCTTAATGAAGAAAACACATTATTGATGATCAAGGGGAACCTAAATGATACACACATTGCCAACAAAGATTGATCTTGCATCCACTTCTTCCCTGTTTGCTTGATTAGCTGCAGCAGCTGGATCTCCTGCAATGGAAGTATGCATATGATTTACGAGCGTACATGGGCATGAAAATGTGAGCAAAAATGAAGGGATTTCATCATCATAAATGATAGATACTGTATAAATTCTGGCAATTAGGAAATTTCGAGCAACTGTAATTCATACTGGATATTAGAAACCATCGTTTTCTCCATGAATAACTGCTCAAATTGCAGTGTAAATTAAGATTGAATGCTCATTTACAGGAAAATCTTTCGATTGAATGCTTTCAACATCATATTACAACCATAGCTGTATATAATCACAGTAGCTGTACCCAAACAAGCAAAATCAATCCACTTCTAATCATATATTCACAAGCTTCATCAAACTCGCCAAAAGCACACTAAATAGAAACAAAAATTCAACCAAAATTGCAATTCAGATGCTCCATATACAAGCAATTTGAGTGCAAATTTGGACGCCGTAAATGAAAAGATGAAGATGAAGAAACCTTGTGCGGCGCCCATCTCCTTTTCGACTTTTGCCTGCATTTCGCGGAGAGCGGCAGCTTCGTCCTCCATCTCCTTCAGCCTCTTCTTCATATTATCCAGCTCCTATACATACAAAAACACGTACAGGATTACAGCGTTGCCGACGAAACCTAGGGTTTGTGAAACCGAATGTGAATTCCACAACACAAGACAGAAATAATTCGGATCTGCAACTAAAAAATCATGATTCATCAACCTGATCTCCACCGTCGTCCGCCGCCGCCATCACCACGTCGCCCTCCATCAATATCTCCCTCCCTGCCTCCCTCAGGCGGTTGCTTTCTCACAGAATAACAAAAATAGTACTAATAATATCTGAGACATTTGCATCTGAAATGGCGCTTTTACCCTTCCAACACGGGTCCCATTCCCATGCCCAACCTTCTCCCAGTTCTTCGGGACTTCTTCGGTTTCAAAGGAGCCCCACCCTTCCCTGTGATTTTCTTCCCGAATACTCAATTCTTCCACGGGCAGTCAATTCATGATTACCACAATAATCTGGAGAAAGCTGGATGCTGCTTTAACTATATAATGCAGTATTGATCAATGGGCGTAATGTAGATCCAGTTGGGATTGTCTGATAACCAAATTCTTTTTAGTTATGTATAGATATTTGTAATATTACAGTAACAGCAGGCATTAGAGCTAACAGCCAGCAAGATGAGCTAGGGGCATTGTAATGGCAGTGTCTGCTTGACGAGGAAAGGAAAAGTTGGAGTTCGATGCTGTCAGAGTTATAATCTTAAGCAAGAATTTCACAAGAAGCAGGTTACAAAATCTATCTTTTAAGTATAAAAAAATCAAGGCAGATGCGATTCCACTAGAAGGAATTCAAATCGCTGGCCAAGAAGGATTTGAGCCTGAAACTGTGAGAAGTTTGAGCATTATAACAGTTCAGCATGCTATCCAACTTGCAAAAATGGTAAGTAGTTTGAAGCCTAAGATATGATAAGGATTTTTGTCATAATTATATCTTTTATGATGCTTTTAACTCCATTTGAGTACCAGGTGAAGTAAACAGTTCCTGCAATGGGGTTTACTTGACCTGGGAAGATCTATGGGTGACCGTCTCCACAGCTACAAAACAGGGCACTAAACCACTTCTCCAGGGACTTTCCGGCTACGCCTCCCCCGGCGAGGTCCTGGCCGTTATGGGCCCTTCCGGCAGCGGCAAATCGACTCTCCTCGACGCATTGGCAGGTCAGTTCATTCATTTACAGTTTCTGCAATTACATATATATATATATATATATTGATCAATTGATTGATTGATTCTTACATTTCTTGTCCTAATTTGATGCAGGCTTATGTGACACACGAGGATGCTCTAGCATGGACACTAACCGTTAGCGAAGAGGTGTACTATTCAGCACAGTTGCAATTACCTGCGACAATGTCGAACTTGGAGAAGCTCTAAAGAGCCGAGAGCGCGATACGGGAGATGAGGCTGCAGAATTCGATGGAAATGCGGATCGGCGGATGGGGAAGAAAGGGCCTTAGCAATGGCCAGAATCCGTTGTGGTTGCTGATTTCAGTATTGATCTCTGGTAGTTCTTTGCGATGAATGGCTTTCCATGTCCGGATCTTCGATGCCTGGCCGATCACTATCTTAAAGCGAACAATTCAGAGTTTTACGACGTGCGCTTACGATTGATCGATTTTGTTTGTTGCCTTTAAAATTAAGCTTTTAGGTGAAATGATCATTGATGACTTCTGATCTTTTAGGACATTGAAAAGGGGAACGGAGGCGAATCCGTGGCAAATGAAGTGATTAGTATGCTCGTAATATCTTACAGCTCTTGCGATGTTTGCGCGCGGATGAAAACCACGGTGGCTGAAATACACAAGCGAGCATGATCGAAACCGAAGAGCTTTGATTTTCTTGATCGATCTGTGTTTCTTTAACTTTAAGCTTTTAGGTGAGATGATCATTTAATATTCTTAATGTATATATAGGGTGATAATTTGAGTGTGAAGAAAGAGGCGCGGGCTAGCTTTCTTACACAATGCCTAACTCTCACTAATGGGTCGTTTATCCATATGCACCGCGACCTCGGCTACTACTGGCTACGCCTCGTCATCCACGTTGTAGTCGCTCTCGGCTTAGGAACCGTGTTCTACAACGTCGGAAACAGCCACAACTTCGTTTACGTAACTCCTCGACTGCATGCGCTGCTATTGAAAAATTACGTTTTTTATTCAAAATATCACATCAATACTATGTTGTAGGAAAAATGTTCGTTACTGATCTTTGTGACTTCGCAACTAACAATCATGGTGATCGGCGGATACCCGTCGTTAGTGCGAGATCTCCATGTCTTCCGGAACGAGAGGCTAAACGGCCGGTATGGCGCGGCGGCTTTCGTGATCGGAAACACCGTCTCGTCGGCGCTGTTCCTCGCGCTCATATCGGCAATACCGGGGTGATAATGTACTTTCCAGCGGGCCTCCGGCGAGGGGACGTCGAGTTCTTTTACTTCGTGGCAGTCATCTTGGCGGCGATGATGGTGGTGGAGAGCCTGATGATGACGGCGGCGAACTTCCTGCTGGGACTGATCATCGGGGTGAGGGTACAGGGGGGGATGATGCTTGGCGGGGGGTTTGTCCGGCGGCCGGAGAATCTGCCGAAGATGTTCTGGAAGTATCCGATGTACTACGTGGGATTCCGTAGGTATGTGTACGAGGGGATGTGCAAGAATGAGTTTGGGGTTGATGGGATATTCGAAGTGGATCGATCTTGGTGTGTTGTTTGGGATGCTTATTCTCTATAGATCCCTTTTCTTTCTTACTGTTAAGATTGTCTGGTTTTAGACTTAGATTTGATTTCTTGATTCTGGACATGGACTTATTTGTTGTTGGAATATAGCCCAACAATTTTTTTAAAACATATTTTCTTTAATTAATATTGTAAAAAATATTTTGAAGTTGTTGATTATGCATAAGTTTAATGACACTTAAATTACATATATAACAAATTTATTCCCGTACTGATATTAAGAAATAATAGTATTTTATTATCAGTGTGTAGATTTTGACATTTTTATCCTTTGATTATGTAAAAAAAATAATTGTATGTATAATATTATGTTTGTAATTTAAATAAAAATTAAAGATGTACTGTATATAATTACTTGAAAATAGATACGGACGAAAATTCTTAAAAACTGTACGAGTATATTAAGGGTGTGTTGTTTGAAGGATTTACACTATTCATATCAAACATTTATTTTTTATTTTTTATATTATATTAAAAATCAATTTTACGATTCAAAACATCGTATCAATATTTATTTACATCATATTATTCCACTATTTCAATTCAAATTCTTGGCTGTGCAAATTCTCAAAATCCAAGTCACACCCGTGATTGACTTAGCAAGCTTTTGCCAGCCCCAAGTCTAAACTCGTGCTGTCTAAATATTAATTTTTTAAATTAAGTCATTGCATTTATTTATTATTATTATTATTTTCCGGCCAAAGCCATTGCACATATATTATTAGAAGTCTAGTTTTATACCTAAACTAAAAATTAATGCAGCTAATCTAGAAAAGCTACAGAAGACTTTGTAGCTCTTTATTGTGTTCAATTTGTAACCATAAAATAAAATGCCTAATCCTACATTCCTACTCTCATTTTAAAATTCACCATCTTCATCTTCATCTTCATCTTCATCTTCATCTCTCTCTCTATATATATACATATAATAATGTCTCCACAATCAAGAAGCTGTGTTAAAAAAATAATAATAATAGCTCACTGAATTCAAACAAATAATCGAAAATATTCCATCCACCCCATGGGATTCGATTCGTTTACATTATTATATAAACTCACTGCTGTTATTGTTTTTGCAATAATCTGTGGCCATTGTTTCACAGACACTGAAAACAGTATCATATTTTTTTGACAATCAATCCACTGGGATCTCTGTTTCCTCCGCCTAATAACCCTTCCTTCTCCCCACGATTCGCGCTTTCCATTGTCGTTAAAAAAAACATTTCCCTGTCTGAATACAATAAATACATATATATAGTATTCTTGTGACCCTTCCTAGCTCATTCGTTAATCACAATTCGCAAGGAAATTAGTGATGGGCTTTCGTCGTTCTTGATTCTGCTTCGACCTCTGCAACTATGGCGGCGGCGGCGGCGCTCTGTAGCGCCAGCCATGGCTGTGGCTCCGAGAAGCTCCGGCAATACCTAATCCCCAGGCACAGTTTCACCAGGCAAGTTGAGGGTTTTGTTTCCTCTTCTGTAAATGCCTAATTCATTGCATCCTTGGAGTTTGTGGTCAATTTTGATTCTTGATGTTCTAAAATGGTTTCCAATCTTGGGCTTTATTTCATGGTTATGTTTGCATTTCTCAAGATTTTTATTACTCTGCAGTTATCGGATAAGGTTCGGATTGATTCAGGATATCCTAATGTTACTTCATATCAAATTTGGTGCCAAAATTTGCCTAAAATTCTAGGAATTTTTCAAAACGTATCGATGATCTTAGCTACACTTGCATTTGTATGAGCTCTTTGTGTTCTATTAACCTTTCAGGATATGCCAAGTGGAATCTTTATCGTTTAGAAGGCAATCGAAATGTGCGAAAATGTATTCGAACAAGATTTCGATAAGTGAGTTACATTCAACTCAAATTCTCGATGAAAATGTGTTGAATTCGAGGGACGACATTAGTGTCGAACAAGAAAAGGGAGAAACTTTGTCGAAAGCTACATTGATATGGAGAGCCATCAAATTGCCAATGTATTCTGTTGCTTTGATCCCTATAATGGTAAGAGTTTCGCAAAGCTAAACGTTCGAATTACTCTGTTTAGGCTTGTTTGATTTTGTCGATGAAATATGCTGCAACACTTAACAGGTAGGAAGCGCCGCGGCTTACTTAAAAACCGGTGAATTTTTTGGAAATCGATTTGTTCTGCTATTGGTTTCGTCTGTTCTCGTCATGGCTTGGGTAAACTTAAGGTTGAAACTTATCCTCGTAAACTAACAAACGTATATGTATTAGAATCGTCATTTGATCGTAATTGTTCTGGATAACGTCTTGAACAGCAATGATGTATATGATTTCGATGCGGGGGCTGATAAAAACAAGAAAGAATCGGTTGTCAATCTTCTAGGGAGGTAAGAAATGCCCTGTTTTGATCGGTTTCATTACAATCCTCGATAATGTAATACAGTTTCGTATACTTCTTTTCGCGAAGTCGGGAAGGGACGACTGCTTTTGCTTGGACATCGCTCGCGCTTGGCTTTATCGGGCTCGTATGGGTGTCGGTGGAGGCGAGAAGTTTGCGCGCGATGTTTCTGCTGACAAACGCGATACTATGTGGCTACGTTTACCAGGTACGATGATTCTGTCAGCTTCTTACGCGACATGTCTGAATTTGTGACGAAACAATGTGTGTTGCAGTGTCCGCCGTTTCGCCTCGGTTACTTAGGAATCGGAGAGCCGTTATGCTTTGCTGCATTCGGTCCGTTCGCAACCATTGCGTTTTACTTTCTTCAGCGCGGGTCGAGGTTGTCTTCGTTATCTACTCGTCGAATGTAAGAATTGAAGCTCTCGCTTTTTTAACTTCGGCTGCAATGATAGGGAGCTCTCCGTTTCTGGGGCTGCCGTCTCTTCGTCGATTCTTGTTGGTTTCACGACAACGTTGATCCTCTTCTGTAGTCATTTTCATCAGGTCACCGCTTCTCTTCCCGATCGATCTCTCGTTTTTGTGGATTTCTATTCGGTTATTGACTTCTTTGACGCGTCGTTTTTCAGATCGAAGATGATAAGTCCGTCGGGAAATATTCCCCGCTGGTGAGTCCTTCTGCGTTGAACCTTAAACCCGAGGATCAGCTTCGAAATATTCTTCGATTTTGAATCCAGGTCAGGATTGGAACTGAACGAGGAGCCGGAGTTGTTAATCTGGCCGTGATTGCGCTGTATTTGCTTCTGTTTATTCTAGGAATCGCGCAAACGCTTCCTTTCTCGTCTGTGGTCAGTCTTACCGAGCAAATTCGAGCTGTGGTTGTATCATTTGATTCGTTTCCCCGTGCTTATTGTTACTTTTTGCAGGTTTTGTGTGCTTTGACGTTACCAGTGGGGAACTCGGTGTCGAGGTTTGTCAAGAGTAATCACACGGTGAGTTTTCTTGTCGAATTTGGCGCGATTTTGAACGATTGAGTGGTTTATTTTCATTGTTTGGCTTTCGATGGTGAAGGACAAAACGAAGATCTTCGCGGCGAAGTATTTCTGTGTGAGATTACATACCGTATTCGGAGCAGCATTGGCTGCCGGGTTGGTTGCAGCTCGAATGTTCGCGCGGAAGAAGCTTCCGCATGCCATACTTCTCTGAGTTACGAATTACACAGGTGCCGATCGTCATTTTTGTACCGTTTATTTGTACATGTCACAAATCGAAAGCGCATACACGAACACATGTTTTGATCGAGTAGTGACGAATGAAGTTGTCCTTGTTTCGCATCCGGTGAATTCGCTGTTCTTACGTTGTCGAAAGAGTTATTACATAGAGCTTTTATTCATCGAACCATTGTTAGAGATCGATCGTGAGGACTAACGGGTCGTGATCTTTCGCCACGGCGATAACCTTTTCGCCGCTGCGAGAAACGAGTGGATGAGCGTCGTAAGCAATGGAATACTCCCCGAGAAATACCGTCTGTTCGAGAACCCCATCCCCGTCGGTGACCCCCGTCAGGTTCGTAGATCTCCATTCGCCTAGGAGCTTGTCGACGACATCCCCCGAAGGTAGGTTCTTGAAATGATTGTCGATGAGACACATCTTGGCGCAGCCGTGAGGCAAGACATCGTAGTTCTTGTTTGTCAGGCATGCATGGTTGCATCCCGTCGGCTTCCAATTCCCCCAGACGACGATCCCTTCGACTGCAGGATGCGCGAACGCCTCCCTCATTACATCCTCCAGCTCGATAGCCTTGTTTCCAGACAACATTAAAACACATCAAGGTTCGAGTTTGATTCGATTCGATTCGTTGATTATCGACACATGTTACACTTGTACCTGATTCGGTCCCCGTTTCGTGTCCAGTTCTGTTAGCCAGATCGGGAGCCCGGTGGTGCCAAGAACATCGAAGGCAGCTCGAATGTAAGGTAGATTTGGCCTTAGTATAAAATGGCCCTCTAATCCGATCCTCAGCGCGATATTATCGTTCCCCGGAAAGGACTGAATCTCGCTGATCCGTTCGACGTACCTGGACGGTGTTACAGCCATGTCGAACGGATTCTCGAGGGTATTGTACTCGTTTAGAAACAGGGGAGTCGAGGGATCCAATGCGCGAACAATCTGGTAAAACATTGCGGAAGCATTTGGCCCGAGGTTGTCTTCGAAGAAAGAGTAGTGTAGATTCTCGTTCATTACATCCCACGCGATGACATCTCCCGAATACCTCGAAACAACAGAGCCCACGTGACGAACCGCGGCTTTCAAGAGCTGTCTCGGCAGGAAGTGTCCGATCCACGAAGGCGTCTCGTTCTTGTTATCCCAGAGAATGTTGTGTCCTCGGATACTTATTCGGTGTTTTCTGAAGAAGGAAACCATGGCATCCGGAACTTCGTAGTTTTCCCTCCCCGATCGCGCCTCTGTGTAGTACCATTTCATCTCGTTTCCGAACGTCGTCGTCTGGAAGCGCCGCGTGAACCAATCTTGGTAGCCTTTGTTGTTGAGGATCTTCTCTGTCGAACCGCAGCCGATCAAAAAATCCGGCCTGATTTGTCTGATGGTGATTTTTGCACCCGGGAGATTCTTCCCGTTGCTTCGGACATGAATTCGCAACCTTCGGTGCCTAATCTGGTAAAACATCGACACAAAAATGTACCAGGATCGAACATCCTTGAATAACTTACGATGATATCGAGCAAAACTTAGCTCACCTGCTCGATGCTCTTGCTCAGCTGCGCTCGCCATTCTGCTTTCGTGAATCCCTTCAGCGAAACGTTGTCGATCCAGATTTCAACCTTCGTATTATTGCTCTGCATTGCACATAAAACAGATCGGATCCTCCTCGAACCGAAACTTCAGCTTCTTCGCTAATAAAACAATACCGAAACATAGAACTGAGCTTTGGTGTTTTCATCAATGGCGAAGCCTCCCTTGAGCATGGACCAGCAGCCGGATTTTGCTATCACGGAACCAACGATTAGCTTCCTGCTACCACCGGGGATCTCCAGGAAACCCGAGACGATCTCTTTTCCTCGATTCAACTGCAACCATGCTGCAAACAAAAGAGATAAAAAAAAACGTACCAACAACAATATACTATTGATCAATCAAACAATCTTTCACCTGAGAATGTATACAACAGATCTTTCTGAAGATTGAACTTGTGCGAGAAACTATCATTTGGGAGGTTTCTGTCATATGCTACCAAGAAAGTGTTGCCCCTGCTGGAGTTTCTTGCCTGAATCTTGCCACTTCCGAACACTCCCCATTCCGACGAGCCCGAATTGAAATTCGGGTTTCTGATCAGCCCACCATTGTACTGTGGAACCAATGGCTCCGCCAAGCACTGGGATTCATAACATCTCATTTAATCATTCTTTCCCCAAAATATGATCAAGATCTTTATTTTTTTTCCAAAAAAAGAGCTAAGTTCTTACTTCAATGGTGGCAGTATAGTCATAGGATGAATCACAGGCTCCAACAGCACAACCTGTTGATGAAAAAATCAGATTAAACTCAAGATTGTTGATTAATCACATTCATAGCAGAAACACTGACCTGTCAAGAACAGACAGCACAGGATACCAAGCCAAGCATAAGTTCCCATTCTTCCACAAATCTCTAAACAAGATTTGGATTCAATTCTATTGACTAAATATAATTAAACAACTTAGTTTCAAGAATTTAATTTTAATGGAGGAGATGCATGTATATAAGTAGTGTGTTGTGAGTGAAACGTATGGGAAATAAATAAATCACTGCAGCATTGATTAAACTTGCAATAAATTGTCAAAAAGGATAACTCCAAGATCAACTTATAGTAGATGAATTCTTTAGACAGAGTAATAACGTACCTTAATGTATGTAATTTCAGTGAAACTGAAAACCTGCAACTTCAAATATATCTACATATATATATGAAACAAACTTTCAACTGTGGTTTGGATTTCTCCATGGAAATCCCAGAAACATGAACAGCTTTGAAAACACACTTTCCTGGCAGTATTATGAATGTGCAGAAAAATGGTGTCCATGATTTCTTGAGAGCACCAATCCAGCATTCAATTCAGCACATGAAGTGTCTTCCTGCATACACACACACACACACACATATATATGTATGTATGCATATTATGTGTTTCCATTTTGCGGCGCAGACCATCTGAAGAACCATAAAATATATTTACTCAAAAGGGAATATGGCAATGGAGATGGCGGGGATTGGATTAACATTAGTTCAACACCACATGGATATTCGAAAGAATCTCAGCAATATAAACCAAAAGAGTAAGACAACATAGGTGATCAACATTCAAAGACTGTCTGGAAGACTTTAACCTATTACCACTTTTGAAGATCAAACTTGGGATAGATAGAACATTTTCAAGTAAAAGAACTACAATTCATGTGTCGACGATGATCCTATTTATAGTTTGGCTCTGCTAAATAATAATTTACATACACAAACAGATGATCTGACCTTAAATTGATCCAAGCATTGACAAAAACGAAAGATACCAGAAGATCGAAACAGAATCAGAACCTGTTTTTTCATTGTAGCATGAATTTTCTTACTTATTATCGACTTATATCCATCAAAGCTTAAGATCAATTACAAGATTGAATGTCGATTAAGATCCATCGAATGCAAAACTAGTGAAGTGTATCTGTGTATGGCAACTTACAGAGACTTGTATCACAGCAGCAATGTACATTGGCAACTTTGCTGCTCTCCATATTGATGTTCTTCTGCTCATATCCATCGATCGAAAAGTTTATCGGATTCAAGAGCTAAATGAGCTTGCCTGCTAACATTTTTGCTTCGATTCAAGAGCAGTTGGACGAACAAAGCATGAACCCTAATATTTAGGGCAAACTCGTGTAAGCACACTCACCTCAAAAAACGACTGGATTTGATCCAATCCTGAATTCGAGCAATCATGGAGGACCACCAATCGAATAAACAAATTCAAACCCTAGATGAGAGCGAAGGAGACACTAATTTCAGACCTCAACTCGCAATTAATAAGAGTATCTGCAATACCTTGATTTTTCGAATTGGGGGATTCCCTCGTTCCACGAATCGAACTGCACTTCTGATTAGTGACGAGCTTAACGAATCACGAATTCCATCTGTCAAATTTGAGAAACTTATTTAATCGGGCCTAAAATCGAAACAAACACTTCTGCGAGAAATCTTCAAATAAATTACGAAACGGAAATCTTTGGCACGCTCACTTCCTTTGTAATTTTATAAATCCAAAACTGAATGCATCTAATCCCTAAACTATTTCCTGACGCACACAAAACACATGCTACTTTGTATACAAATCTAAATGGTAACAAGAGCTGAATTAAGAAAATCGAAATCTGATTTAGTAAGAACATCCCATGAGGGTCACCTAATCTTCAACCGATGCCATTGCATTCCATTCGGAGATTAATGGAGTGACAAAACCTTAAAAACAATTAGAATTGTTCTACATTCTTCATCTCTGTGCTCTCATGGCGAGTTATCGTGATTTCTTCTGCTGTCTTCTTCTTGCAGCAAGTCAGTAGTGTTCCTTGATCGAATTTCATGCCATAGAATTTGAGTTCAATTCTGTTAATCTGTATCTCCATTCTTCAGGTTGTTTTTCTGCCGGAATCTCTGCTCAATCCTATGACTACTCTGCCAGCGTTGATGTAATAACAGAAGATCTTTCCTCTTCCATGCATTCATTAACGTACTGTACTTAAATTTCGATATAAAATCTGTAGTGCCTGGCGGAGCCATTGCCGCCACAATACGGCGGAGGCATGGTGCACGAGCCGAATTTCGACTCTGGCCTGGCCGGATGGGGCGTGTTCGGAGGTGGAAAAGTTGCGGCTAGGATATCCAGGACGGGAAATCATTACATGGCCGCATACGACAGGAAGCAGCCGGACGACAGCTTCGCGAGGGGATTTCATCTTTCGAAAGATCACTTGTATACATTTTCAGGTGAAGAGTAGTACTGTTCGATTGATCTGATGAAGATGATGATGCTGTAAGAATTTTGTTGTGTGACGTTTGGATTCTTGCAGCATGGCTGCAGCTGAGTGAGGGAAGAGACATTGTCCAGGCTTTTGTGAACACCTCCGGTCCGAACCGATTAATCGTCGGCTCCGTGGTGGCTAGATCGGGCTGCTGGAGCATGCTCAAAGGAGGCTTCACTGTTGATCAAAACATGAAGACTCAGCTTTATTTCAAGGTTTTGTTTGTCATCAGCAACCTTGTACAGGTCGAAGAATGGAGTGGTTTTATAGTTAAGGTTTTGACCTTTTTTTTTCTTTTTTTCTGGATAAATGGCAGAGCAATAATACCAAAGCTGAAATATGGATCGACAGTGTGTCGTTGAAGGGATTCACGAGAGGGGAATGGCAACAACATAGGAAAACAAAGATTGATGAGGTAAATTAATAATTCAAATCTCAAGAATTAAACTTTTAGATGAGATGGTTAATTTAATCATACATTGTCATGTAAAAATCTCCACCAGTTTCGGAAGCGCAGGTTGCGAATCCATGTCACAAGCATGGGGAAGAACCTCGACCGCGTAAATGTGACCATCGCCCAAATGAGAACACAATTCGCGATCGGCTGTGGCACGACAGCCAGCATCCTAGACAACAAGGACTACCAGACATGGTTCGTCCGGCGTTTCCAGGCGGCCACATTCGACAACGAGATGAAATGGTACTACACGGGAGCCAGCCCGGGTAAAGAGAACTACACGGACCCGGACGCCATGGTGTCCTTTTTCAAGAAACACAAGATCGATGTGCGAGGCCACACCATTCTCTGGGCGAACCCGAACATGACTCAGTCTTGGGTCCGGTCCCTGACGGCCTCAAAGGTTCGCGAGGCGGCTAAACGGCATGTCAGGTCTGTCGTCACGAGGTATTCGCACGATGTAATAGCTTGGGATGTAATGAACGAGAATTTGCATTTCTCTTTCTATGAGGACAAGCTCGGGCCGAATGCTTCCTCGATGTTTTACGGGATGGTTCGATCCCTGGATTCGAAGAATCCCCTGTTTTTAAATGAATACAACACCTTGGAATTCCCCCTGGATTCGAAGGTTATCCCGTCCAGGTATGTCGAAAGGATCAGGGAGATACAATCATTTCCAGGGAATGAGAACATTTCCCTGGCGATAGGATTACAGGGCCATTTCTCACCGCCGCCATCGCTGTCTTACATTCGTGCCGCCATCGACATTCTCAGCGCCACCGGGTTGCCGATCTGGCTGACGGAATTGGACACCAGACGCGGCCCGAATCAGGTAACCGAACAACTTGTATCGTTTGTTATATTGATTGTTACATATATATATATATATGTTGTATATAATATTTTTGTTGATATACTTTGAATCTAGTTTGCCACTTCATGTTTATTTTACAAGGATCTTGTTTGAGCTCGTATTGAGGTGAGCCTGATGTATTCTGTTAGGGTGTGTTTGTTTGGGGGTTTGGATTTTGAGTCGGGATTTGAATAGTAAAAATTTTGAATTTGAATAGTTGTATGATGTGATATAAATAGGTGATGATGTGATGTTTTGAATGTAAAATTGATTTTTAGTATAATATAAAAAATAAAAATAAGTGTTTGATTTGATGTTTTTGGGGGAAAATTTTGAATGAATAGTGAGATTTGGACCAAATCTCTCAACCGAACACACCCTTAGTTTATTTGAATAGAATTAGATATATGAAAACTAGGTTAATCTATTAGAAATTGAATAATCTAAACTGTCCTCAATAAATCTGTTCTTTATTTTTGTTTTCTTTATCCCATGGACGTAGTCAAAATAAGCTATTGATGAATTACCTAAATCTGTCTTTTTTATGTTTTCATTTGTTATTCGATCATTAATGTAATATGTTACAACAATCTTTTATACGTTGCATGTGCTGTCTTAATTATATTTCATGTTGGTCGTAAAAATTCAGGCTGCGGAGCTGGAGGAAGTAATGAGGGAGGCATTCGGGCATCCCGGCGTGGAAGGAATCATCGTATGGGGAGGATGGAAGCCGACAAACTGCAACCGGACATGTCTGGCGGCGGAGCACAAGACCAGCGCCGACAGGCTGCCTCATGGCTGCGCCGAGATGTGCCTGGTGGACGAGAACCTACGCACCCTCCCGCCGGGGGATGTCGTCGACAAGCTCCTGCAAGAATGGCGGACGACCAGCCTGTCCAAGGTCACCGGCAAGGATGGAACGGTGGAGGAGACGGTCTTTCTTGGAAAGTACTCTGTTCGATTCTTTCATCCCCAGATTCCGGCGGGTCGTCCCGGAAAAAAGATTGTCGTAACGCCGGGGAAAGACCCGTTGGAAGTCAATGTCGAATTGTAGTCGAGAATATTTAATTATCCCATCTTTCGAATAAAAGGGGTTTAATTATTAGAGGATTTACAATGGTCCACGGTCAACTCGGGACTTGGTGAAGAGTCTTGGGTTTGACTTTCAAGGAAGTCAAAAACAGGAGGCGGAAGGAATTGAATATCGATCGGCTATCGAGTAGCGAGATGGAAAAATCAACGGTCAGGATTGAATCCAACATATCCGACGGGGACAGCCTCACGTTTCTTGTCGTGAGCAATTACTCTCACCTGCTATGCACCAACGCGAGGTGACAGTCACTCATGGCTGCGGTATGGCTATTAAAACAAATGGATAGCCATAGCCCTCTATATTATTTGAGCCAAATAATTAAAATAAAAAATAAAAAAATATACCAATTTGTGAAGAGCGATTAGGGTTTCTGTTAGTATCCAAATTGAATTGATTAAAATCTGTAGAATACCCGCGTATGCGGAAATTTCTTCAATGGCCTCTCTTTCCTACTCATTTCTTCGTCGTCTTTGCTTTATCGTATTCCAACCTATTTATCTCTATAAAATATGGCATAGATTAAGAGGAAATTCGGTATTCGCAGGCGAAATCCCACTCCCTCTTTCTCACGATTCTTCCACCTTCAATGGCCGCCGTCAATTTTTCTTGCTCACCATCTTCCCTTTCTCGCTCACGGTCAGGCTCGATCTTTTTAATACCTTCGATTGCTTTTGAATTTCACTGTTTGTTCAGTTGTCGTTTTACCTGAAGTGAAAATTATGGATCGATTTCTCTTTTATCTCTGTTCTGTGTTTTCGTCGTCTTCTTTTATGTTCTTTCAGATCGATTTTATGGCTACGAATTCTCGATTAAGCAAACCTTTTATACTATCTTGACTTAATTAGGATTTGACAATCTTCAGGCTGTTCAATGTTCTCAATCACGGGAGCTTACAACGTGCGATTGGTATCGAATCCTTAAAGCAGAACAACAACGTACATTTTAGTGTCAAGAAATTGGACAAAGATGGAGTTCGTCTTCATCCTGGTTCACGTAATATTAATGCTCTCGCCAATGGCGGAGTTGAGGCACAGTCTGATTCTAACATTTATTTGGAATCACTTGCAATTAATACGGTTCCAATTACCTCCGGATTTGCCAATGGAGTCGATGAATTCGAGCTCGAAATGCCGTCGGAAGGCTTCTCGTCGATCCCCGAGGCCATCGAGGACATCCGCAATGGAAAGGTCGATGATTGTTGTATGCTACACGATTTTCTTTCAAGCTCCCATGGTTGTACTGTACTGATTGGATTGATCTTGCAGATGGTCGTGGTTGTGGACGACGAGGATAGAGAGAACGAAGGCGATCTTATAATGGCTGCATCGAAAGTCACACCCGAAGCCATGGCATTCATTGTGAAGCACGGCACGGGAATCGTTTGCGTGAGCATGAAGGAGGAGGACTTGGACCGGCTCCGCCTTCCATTGATGGTTAACCATAAGGACAACGAGGAGAAGCTTCGCACGGCATTCACCGTTTCGGTGGTAGGATTTTGTTCAAAAGCTGTCGTTAAATGATCATCTCACCTAAAAATTTAAAATTATAAGGAAATATATCGGAAATTCATTGATTTGAAATGATGATTTGTTGTTTTAGGACGCGAAGCATGGAACAACGACGGGCGTGTCAGCTAGCGACAGGGCGACGACGATCAAAACGCTTGTTTCTAAAGATTCGAAGCCTGAAGATTTCAATCGCCCCGGCCACATATTCCCGTTGAAGTACAGAGAGGGCGGTGTTCTGAAAAGAGCCGGGCACACGGAGGCTGCCGTGGATCTTTCGATGCTGGCCGGATTGGAGCCCGTCGGCGTTTTGTGCGAAGTTGTCGATGATGACGGTTCGATGGCACGATTGCCTAAACTTCGCGAGTTTGCTCGGAAAGAGAACTTGAAAGTCGTATCCATCGCGGATTTGATTAGGTGAAGATCTTGAATTCATCCGATTGATGTCGAAGGGAAGTTCGGAGAATGATGTGTTCGATTTTTTTGTCGTTGCAGATATCGGAGAAAGACGGATCGACTGGTCGAATACGCCTCGTCTGCACGTATACCTACGGCTTGGGGTCCGTTCATCGCGTATTGTTACCGGTCGATTTTGGATGGGATCGAGCATATAGCGATGGTGAAGGTGAATACGCTCGACTGGATCGATACTTGTTTGCAGAGTTGCGAAATGCTAATAAATTTCGATGTCTGAAACAGGGCAGCATCGGTGACGGACAGGATGTTCTTGTCCGAGTGCACTCGGAGTGTCTCACCGGAGACATATTCGGGTCGGCGAGATGCGACTGCGGGAACCAGCTGGCGCTGGCAATGCAGCAGATCGAGGCTGCCGGTCGGGGCGTCGTTGTCTACCTCCGCGGCCACGAGGGCAGAGGGATCGGTTTAGGACATAAACTCCGCGCCTACAATCTGCAAGACGCCGGGCGCGACACTGTGGAGGCAAACGAGGATTTAGGCTTGCCTGTCGACTCTAGAGAGTACGGAATCGGCGCCCAGGTAAAAAGTTAATCTGGTAGAAAAATGTATGATTAATTACATATTATATACGATTTCCTCGTCTTATTATGATGTACTTTGTGTGCAGATGCTTAGAGATCTCGGTGTTAGGACAATGAAGCTGATGACGAACAACCCCGCGAAGTATAGCGGCCTCAAGGGCTACGGCTTGGCCATTTCCGGCCGGGTTCCCCTTGTGACTCCGATCACCGAGCACAACAAGCGATATCTCGAGACAAAACGTCTCAAAATGGGACATGTTTATGGCCTCGATAGCAATGGGAGCCCAAAAATCATCGGCAATGACAGCAAACAGATTATCTCTCACCTAAATCTTAAGTCGATAGAAAAAATAGATCATTAATTACATATTATATAGTTTCGAACAAACACACATTCTTATATTTGTCGAACTCAAACGTTTGATTCTTTTATCCATTCATTGTCTCAACCATTGTATATGAACGTATGGAAAAACTCAACGACTATGTTAAGAAACGCGCTTTATACGCAATAATAAGAAACGCTTTTTAAATAAGACGCGTTTTTTCCCTTACTATATAGTTACCGTACAACACAGTTGAATTTATTGTAATTTGCCAATTTTGAATTGGGAACTTTTTTTTAATTATTTATTTATTTTTGGTTTTGGTAAACCCAATATTTTTTGTGTGTGTGGAGATCAAACACTAATTATTATTAAAAACTTAATAGGCAAGTGAATTCACGTCTACAGCTAATAATATTTCAATAACGTTATACTACTTCACATAATAATTACATTTACCATTCTTTCTTCTGGCCAAATCTCCACCGTCGGATATAATATGCATCCAACGGTTACTTTTAATTTAAGATCTTCTTTAAATGCCGCTGCTAGGCGAAAATTTCACAGCCCATCTTTCCCAAAGCGTTTCAGATTCAGTGACCTTTACAACAATGGCGGTTTCTAGGGTTTTCTCGGCGGTGATGGTGGCGTTTCTGTTGGCGTCCGTCGCGCAAAGTGTAACAGCAAATTCGAAGTCCGGTCATCCGCCTCGATCCGCCGCCGCTCCGTCCCCTTTGGAGTCTCCGTCTGTCGCGTTTCCTCCATCTCATGGCGCTCCGGCGCCGGCTCCAAGTAGCGGCGCGATTAATAGAGCAGGTATCGCCGCCGCGACGGCCGCCGGAATCCTCGCCGTCGCTCTGGCCGCGTGAATAATCTGATAGCGTAGCGGACCGCTCGATTTAGCTATGTTTGGTTGTAGCTTTGCTTTATGAATCAACCATTGAATAATGAGTTCAGTTATTTTTGTGCCGATTTATTATTTGAGTGTAGTTGCAAATTACCGTAAAATAATTTTTCTTAACTGATACATTATTCAGTTTTGATTGTTTCAATAAAATGTAGTAGTGTTATTTGTTTGTTAAAATATTACTTAAAATAAAAATTAAATTAAATCAAAATCAAACAAACACGTACGATACAAGGGTTTGTTTGATCCCATATAAAAATATACTTCCTCCTCCTCCGTCCCACAGAATTATAATTTGAGTTGTGGTAGACACGAAATTGGACTTTTTGTTCTGTATTAGTGTAAAAATAAGTGATAATTGTGTAATAATAAAAAAAAATAATACTCCTTATATTGGATTGTAGTAAAAAAAACAAAAATACTTGTATTAGTATAGTGTAATATAAAAGTAATGATATTTGTGTAATATATTATAAATTGAAAGGGTATTTATTATGTTATTTGGGTAGTACAATTATTAAATTATGAAATAGTAACATTGTTTTAAGACGGACGAAAATAGAAAATTGTAACATTTCAATGAGACGGAGGAAGTAATAGTTTTATAGTGATATGTTTATTTATAGAAATGAAATTATTGTTTTAGGACGGACAAAAATGATAAACTAAGACAATTGTATTGAAAAAGGAGTATTATTCTCTCGAAAAATATACTATCAAAATAGTATTTAAACTAAAGTTAAAATTAAAATCCAATTTCAAATCAAAATAAAAAAACACCTCCGTTCATCACCAATCTATCCGTTTACTTTTTACATTTTAATCTTTAAATATTAATTATTATATCATAGTACTAATAAAAAAAAGGACAAAAATATTTCTATTAGTGTCTTATAATACTAATGTAATAATATTTGTATAAAAAATTATACAAATATAATGATATTTTTAATGTTAAAAACAATGACGTCAAATGCAAACGGATAGATTGGCGGTGGACATAGATAGTATATTTTTTTTTATGTTAGATTAAAAAAATGTATTAAATTATTGATTTTTTTTATTAATAAATATTACATATATTGTATATTTTTTTGTAATATTTATAAAAAAATTGTATCAATAAAAAAATGTTGAATGAATACATGTTTTTTTCTTTCATATATATTAAAAAATACACATATAATAAATATATTCCCTCCGTCCAACTAGAAAGTATACATGTTTCTATTTTGGGACGTCCAATTACAAAGTAAACATTTCATTAAATACATTACTTTTTTCCACAAATACCCCTATTTTACATCTGTTGATGTAATTTTTCAACAAAAATAAAGTAAAATTCAAAGATATAGAAAATATCCTTAAACTTGATTAATTAGTGCCTGAGATTAGGAATCTCTAAACACTGTATGGTACAGAAAATAAACTGGAAAATAAAAGACTGAAATTTAAAGTGGTGATCCCCAAATCTGACTTTGCTTTGTTGAAGTTGATTGAAGATTCCTTGCCAAATGATGATCCAAATCCTTAAATATTCCCTGGGAAACCGTACTGAAAACCGTCACCCGAACGGTTACAACGTCTCCTTCTCAACCGTCTTCCAACCTTTCTTATGCTGACACGCGTCCCCAGCAGACCAAAATTCCCTATATTTCACTCCTTGAGCCGACCACAGACCTTCCGCTCTTTTGGCCCGACTTCGTCCTTCGTCCGACCTACTTCTTCGCCCGACCCCACTTGGACCGACCTCCATATCAACCGCCCCCTGTCTTTGATCAAAGGCCTCCGTGTTTGTCCGACTCCTCCTTCTATCCGACCTACAGTTTACCCGACCTGCGGATATCCCATCTCAACGACTTTCCGTCTCGAGGACCTCCCGACTTGAAAACCTTCCGACTCATCGTCTTTCCGTCTTGCGGACCTCCCGACCTGAAAACCTTCCGACTTGAGGTCTTTCCGTCTTGCGGACCTCCCGACCGGAAGACCTTCCGACTTGAGGTCTTTCCGTCTTGCGGATCTCCCGACCTGAAGACCGTCCGACTTGAGGTCTTTCATCTTGAGGGCCTCCCGACCTGAAGACCTTCCGACTTGAGGTCTTTCCGTCTTGCGGACCTCTCGACCTGAAGACCTTCCGACTTGAGGTCTTCTTAGAAATAAATAAATAAATTTATTTTCCTTGATTTCCTCACGGTGTCCTTCAGCCAGTTCAATCAACCCTATTGCCAGGCCCATTCCTCGTTTTACCTTGGGCTTTTAACCTAATTCTAAATTTCGTACGTAACAACTTGCCCGCCGCCAAGGGACTTTCAAACGCCAATAAATGTTTGGAAGTTCATAAAGCACTACCTTCTCGAGAAACTCCCTTAGCAACTACACCAGTTACTGCAACACTCCTGGTTTATTCCTTCTTCGCAATACAAGCCTGTGTGAATCACAATCCCAAAACATTCTAACTATGGCGAATCAATACATTCCTGCCCTTCCTTTCGACGGAACCCTTCCAGAAGGTCCATTTTCAGCCTCGAAAGTACTAACTCCGACGATCCGTCCATATTGCACTACTCCCGAAGATTCAAATCGGATGAGGGAAGTTTTGGAATCTCGCAACGCCTTGGCTATCAACAATCCCAACTACCAAGCAGTTCGCATCCGAGACAGCATCAAGACCCATCTCACAGACCCAAAAGATCTGTATCGTGCTTGGTATCGACGAGTAGCAGAACACTTCCAGACCCAATGGCGATCCCAAAAGATCGACCAAGCAATACTACTGTCTACCATGCCTATCAACCTGCATGAGAAGGTGTTGTTGGCCATGTCCGCCTTCTGGAATGCGGAAAATGGGACTTTCCTTTTGCCCTCGGCCCCCTTTGGCCCAACCCTTATGGACGTGGCCATGATCGCACATCTCCCAGTCGTGGGTGAAGACCCTGTAATGGGAGCCCTAGATGGGCAGGAGCCATCAGAAGACCATCCGGGATGGTCTTTACAAGGTGTGAAGGAATGGGGTTGGACAAAGTTCGCAACCGACCAGCAAGGGGCTCCAGGGACTCCTGTAACCGACCGGGAGCATACTGCCTTTATTCTGTTCTGGCTTTGTAGGTACATCATTGTTTCTCCTTCCAAAAGTGTTCTTCCTTCTCACCTCGACCTGGCCATTCATATTGCGTCAGGTCGGTTCTTCTCCCTTGGTACCCTATTTTTAGCCAATCTGTTTGAAGGACTCACCCGGGTTAGCCTTCGTTTAACAGATAACGATAATAGGAAATTAGACACTGCCGCGTCGGGTCCTTTTTGGTTTTTAGAACTTTGGTTCCGTCTTTACTTTCCCAACGCGTTTAACTTAGGATCTCCGCCCACTATGCCAACATCTGAAAAACATTTAGGATTAGTCCTCAACCGACTCTGCTCAGGACGCAATAAACTCCAATCATCCAATCCAATAATAACTGCCATTTTAACAGATACCCGCAGTAACTCTCGATTTTCTCTGTATAAAAAGTATGCGGGTTATGCTCCCGACCATTTTTGGCCCTTTCCAGTACCAAACCCGCTTCCGACTCCTGAGCCTTGTCCTCATCCCACCTATCCTTTCGCCTGGGACGTCGCCCTCAAACCCAGGTCTCTTTTTAGTAGCAAGAAACTTGATAAAAAAGGGCAGAAAACTTTTTACACTTTTAACTATGAACCTCAATTCATGGCGCGTCAGTTCGGCTGTTGCCAAGGTATCCCCGGACCCGTCGCGGGTCCCCAAATAATTTTTCAAAGTCCCGACCGACGAGTCCTTCCTAATTCAATCCCTTCTTATATCTCCCAGCTTACCACGTATATAATTTCCAATTCTTATATTCCCTTCCGCTCCAACCCTGAGAGTGTAGATACTTTCAATGAATGGTGGTCGGTCGTATGGTCCCTGATATCCCCTGATGAGGGTCGGTTGCTGAACGTACTCCTCCCTCCCCAAGGACTGGTTCTAGGGGCGGCGATACATACTAGCACCCAAAAACAAACAACCGCCCCGGGAATCGGATCTGGGGGTCCCACGCGCAAAAGAAAAACTTCCCAGCTGCAAACACCCCCGACCTCGGAGACCGACCAGCAAACACTAGCAGACCTTGGAATAACTAGGACGTCAGCAAGGACCCGACCCCGAATTGGTAATGTTTCTTAACACCGTGAACCAATTCACTATATCATAACTTTGATTTCACTCATTTCATTCCCCAGAACCGACCTTGGTGACACCGACCAAGCAACCGACGCCAGCACCAACCGACCATTCAATCGGGCCTTTGGTCCA